AAAACGTCATATCGTGCCTAAGCCTTGTAGGCTCAGTCACCCCCACAATTAGAAATTAAATTAGAAAAACAGATATGCCATCCCTCTTTGAGCGAACAAAGTCTGACCAGGCTAAGTGCATGTATGACAAGTGCCCCAATAACCCATGGATTTAGGATTATCCCCATTCCCCTCAAACTTGAAGCATAACGAAATACTACGCCAGTTGCGACAAAGAAATTCTGGCAAAATAACCTTAGCCTCGGAACGTAAAAGCGAGGCCAACACGTTTAGAATAGAATAGGCTAAACCAATATGAACGTAAAATTATCAGCTGACCGAACTCAAAAGTTTATATTGAACATATGTGTAGCCTAAATAACATAGGCTAATTGGTTTAATATGCCTGACCTTAGGTCTAGTTTGATTTTTTCTTGGCACAATGCAGGAATAAAATAGCATCTGTGTCAGGATTCAGACGGGCGCGCCTGCATAGCGACTATAATGCGCCCTGCTGCACTGAAGGAGCGCTCGCACTTGTTGCTGAAATGCATAGAATTCTCTTGGAAAGGTGCTGTGGTCGTGAGAATGACTGGCCTTATTTCTCCCAAAAGGAAGTAGATTTTCCTCTGCTGATCCGTCTATACGGAAGTTTGTAGAGGAATACTTCTGTACTTCATCCAGAATTAGTGTATCTGATTCCTCCTCCCATTCTGTGAAGTCAGTCCTAGGCTTTTTCGTTGGTGCACCAGCTATGCCTATAAAAACAGTACAACCGCCCGCCACCCGCCCGAATTTAATTAAAATATTATTTTTTCGTAAAGTCATCCGCCCGATCCGCGGTTTATCCGCGGAGTCCGCGGCTATAACCGCCAACCGCGCATCTCTAATGTGCAGCATGCCTTAGTGTCTCATGTGGACACGCGGTTAATGAGTTTTCATATTGGCTGTGTGTTGTAGTCTCGTTTTGTGTGACCACATGGCTTGTGTTTCTTTGGCTGTTTCTCAAGAACGTGTTTCTTCTGCGTTCTTGCGTCCTCGTGTTTTCGTGTAACGTCATCATTTAGTTCTAATACTTAAGACCGCAAAAACAGAGGACACGTGAAACTTCCCGCATGTGTTCTTAATATCGAGGATGCATGGATGCAGACTTGAGCACAAAACTCGCTCTAGAAGTCCCAGAAGTCATTGCGGCTGAATAAAGGAGGTAGGAAGCGCAGCATTTTATTTTTAAAGTTAAGAAATATAACTGATTTATCTCAGGAGTTTCCCCTAAATAAAAAGGTGAATATAAACTTTACCATGAAAATCCTAATAAAGGAATAAACACATTAAGGGTGTGTTTATTTGCTGAAATTTGCATCAAAATCGGTTTTATTTATATTGTGCAACGTATATTTGTAAAGTCTTTATGCATAGTATATATCTTGAAAAGGGGAAAAACAATAAATTGTTATATGAATGCTGTAATGTTTAAATAATTTTCTATTAAAAATGTGTGAAGTTCATGTGACCATCAGGAAGACCGCAGCTTGTCATTTCTCACGCGTTTTGTGTTCTCGCGGTCTCTCAAGTTTGTTCTTCCGAGGTGACCTGTGGCCTCACGCATCAACCCTACGTTTGCACAAAAACTTTGCGTACACCAGATTTCACGCTTATGTTTGGATTTACTAACGATGAAATTAACATGGGAATGTGCGTTGGTTTACGCCAACTTCATGTCTGGCGTACGTGCATTTCTTGTGTGTGTTTGTTTTTTTTCCATTGGCGACTCCTAAAGGCAATTATGTTAAATTGCACACTACAAAGTATTGCACCAACACATGTGAAAAACATTGCTATTCATTTATAATTGATAAAATGGGTTTATACACACAGTATATATATATATATATATATATATATATATATATATATATATATATATATATATATATATATATTTATATAAATTTATTTTTTACCAATTATGTGATTTAGAACATATAAATGCATACAAATTTGCAGATGCATACAACCCTTAGTCTATGGCAATAGCAGTGTTGGCTTTGTTAGAGGACATTGTCAATGGTTGAATCCGAAGACTTCAAGGTGGCAGGGTGCGTGATGGGTGGCTTCTTGGTGAGTGATGTATTTAAAGATTTATTCCAGCTAAGTTTTTATTTTATTTTATTTTACTGAGCGTAATTATTTTAATGCATATCAGAAAACCGCGGTTATCCATTTAAGACGTGGCTGTTAACCCCCCTCAACAACAAACAAACTGACCAAGAGTGCAGATACAATGATGCCATTCTCGCACTCGGTCAGATGTAGAGCAGGCAATTGGGCAGCTGAAATGCCGGTTGTGACGCCTAGATATGAGCGGAGGAGTGCTGCTATACCACCCAAACAAAGTGTTCATCTAATACATCTGTGTCTCCCACAGACGTGGATACTACTCCAGACAGGAAAGTGTCGCCCACAATTAAGGCAACTTTCTCCTCAAAGGGTGTTAGTTCAGCATCCCTTGGTTCACACTTCGACAGTGCGCCGCTGTTCTCCTTTTAACCTGCACCTTTACATCGGACCATTTCTTTTTTTAATTCACTCACAGTGCAATGTTCAGACCACACTGCGTTAACTGCGTCAGCTAAACTCTCCCACTTATTTTTTTTTTCTTTTGTTATTAATTTCGGAGGACAAACTTGCAAATAACACAGTTTTCCTCCGGTCTACCTCCAATAGGAGCACCTCCAATTCACATTCTGTGAAGTGTCTCTTCTTGCTTGCTTTTGCCATTGCTTATTTACTTGGTTTTGCCGAAGTGGAGTCATTACCATGTTTATTAGGGGGAGGAGGCAGGGAGGGGCTTTGCGCTCGTGAACTCAGTTTCATGTTAATTCGGATGTACAAAGAGAATTTGCGTGGGATTGCGCGTACGCACTGTTTCATACATCTGAATTTTTTACTGCGTACACACATTTACGGCTTTGTCCGTTCGCAATGTTTTAGTATTAATTCAATTGAGAAAGAGCCCTTCTGTCTATTGTCTAGTCCCACCCTCCTTGTTAACCCATTATTAGTTTATTATGTTCACCTGTTTGTTTGTTAATTAATTCTGCTTATATTCTCCTCATGTCTGCTGTTCTGTGCCAGTTCGTATCTTGCCTTGTTCTGTCTTCAAGCCCTGATCTCTAACAGCCTGCCCAGTCTAGTTTGTTTATTTGTTTTGTTAATGTTTTCCCCCTCTGGGTAGTTTGTTTTGCCTTTCGCTTTATTTTATTATAAATAAAAACTTATTTTCCTTGCACTTAAGTCCTTATCCCCACCACCAACTCTGACAAAGATGCAGTTTTCAGTAAAAACCCCATATGTTTTCTTAAACACTATATTTAAACTACATAAACATAAACTTTCTTCATAAATTGTGTTTTACAAAAAAAAAAGAATTTTTACTGCCTGTCAACTACCCCTATATTTATTATGTTATATATCCCTCCACACCCCCAAAATTATTTGAACATAGCACCTACCCCAAATTGACACTAATAGTTAGGTTACAATGTCAGGCTAGTTGGGATACTGATATAATCAAAAATATGATACAAACAGCTAAACCTTGGACACTATGTTTCATATTGTCAACATACAGTATGTACCAGTATCCGAGTACTTGTAAGTTGTCTGTGTCCATGTATTTTTATGAAATTGAATGGCAGATAGTATTCTGCTACAAATGGCAGTTGCTTCATGAAAGTGCTTGCTGCAGAGCCACATGGGTGGATTTCCAGCTCCTCCTAACTGAATGCTTTTTTAACAGGTACACCTACCACACCCCTTTTCCCAACCCCCAGTGACACCACTTGCAGAGTGAGTGCAGCACCCATGTGGCTCTGCAATGAGTACCACCTGGTTGCCTCAGCTAGCGTGTTTGTGTGTGTTACCTGTTGCTCATCCTGCACTATAGCAGCGTAGGCCAGCACACTGTGCAGCTCTTCAGCAGTGGGAGATTTCAGAAGGTCTTTCAGCAGAGAGAAAAGAGAGATCTGCACCGTCTGCCTCTCATCAGACAGAGGACTGCCATCCTTCTCCACGCTGTGGACACATACAAAACACAATTATAAACAACACCGTCTTTCGAGTTACAATTAATTTTAACCTTAAATTATAATATTCAGTTCTGGGTGCACCTGTAGTGTGTCCGGATTGAATCCAGGATGTACTGAACACCATACTTCCTGCGAGTCTTCAGCTTGCCTTCATTGATGACAGTGGTCAGGTACTGGACATGACCTACAAACCAACACAAGTATAGACAAGAGGGTTGTGATTGGATTATGTTTTATTTCTCACCAATGATAATTTTTTATTGCTCTTTAAATGATGAGCTGACATTTTTGAGTAAATTTTGAAAAAAATGGAGCTTGTTGCAGAAACATAGCCACTATGATAATGAGACTTAAGAGTCTTAAAAACTAGTTTGACCAGCTTGGATTTAGCCAAACGTAAATATGGCCAGTCTTAAAGAACAAAGATGACTAATTCATGAATGCTTACTGGTTCTAATCCAGTGTTTTCTCAACCACATTCCTGGAGGACCACAAACACTTCATGTTTTGGATCTCTCTTTTGTCTGTCTCAACCATTGCATGTCTTTCAGTCTACGACGATCTGAATGAGGTGTGTTTGGTTAAGGAGATATGGGCTGCATCCGAAACCGCCTACTACTCAGTAGGTACTGCATTTGAATTTAAACATACTACACAGCTGTTAGAAAAGTATGTTCTATAATTTGGACATACTTTTCCGCTCGCATACTGATTTGATTTGCACTGTATAGTATAGAAGTATGCGGTTTTAGACGCAGCCATGGGCTGTTTCTCAATATACCTTCTTCAGTGTTCTTGTGCCCTTGTGTTCTCATTTAATGTCATCATTAACTGTCAACTTGAGAAGTCCCAGAATTCATTGTGTCTGAATAAAGGAGGTGAGAAGCACAGCAATCCTATACCTGTTTATTATTAAAGTTCATGAAAAATTGCCATGAAAATCTTAATAAAGCCTTAAACACAATAAGGGTGTTTATTTGCTGAAATAAGGAGTAAATTTGTGCTGTTTGTTTTGTGCAAAGTATATTTGTAAGGCTTTTTTGCATGTTACATATATAGTGAAAATGGGAAAAACATGCTGCAGTGTTTAAATAAATTCTGTTGAAAATACGTAAAGGTCATGTGACCATCAGGAATAACACATCATCTTATTTCTCACAGGACGCGTTTGTGTTCTCGCGTACTCCTAAATTTGTTCTTTCAAGGTAACCTGGCAAGACCGGTCCCTACAAGAACACAAGTCCATTCTCTGCTTTCTAGGAATTGAGAAGTAGCCAAGGAAAATTATCAGAGCTGGTGATCCTCCAGGAACATGGTTGAAAAACACAGATCAAATCAATTCATGTAACCAGCAGCTGTTTTAAAAAATATAGGACTTACAATTCAATACTTCAATGAATTTACAACTTTTCATAGCTGAGACTACCAGAATTCTACAGCTACTAAAATTACCATAGCATTAATTAAGACTCAAGAATGTACTGAATTGTATTTTTGTCACATATTGTAATATTTATATATTAGGCTTCTATTGAGGTTTTAGAATTAAGCTTCAAATGTCTGTCATAAATTTTTAAATCATTACCCTAATAACACAGTCTTTTTTGTAATATAGCCTATAATCACCACCCCTGAAGCTGCGTACGTCACTCTGTCTGGCAAGTGAAAGAAAAGATTTTTCACCACAGTAAAAATGTAATTTTTGAAAGCTTGAAAGACACATCTGAGTTAGTTATGTTTTTGTAAGCAAAAAGTTGCTAGGCAGGTATATCCATGAAGTATAGTAGTTTTAGTTTAATACAGTATAGTACATTTGTCGTAGTTTGATTTTCAACTAAACTCACTTGCAAAAATCTGCTTATTGCAACTATAGTTACTTTCCAAAGCAAAACCCTTTCTCTCGTTTAAAGATTTTGAAGATGTTTAGCGTGTTTTTATCTCATTTAGATGAGACTATTACAAGTCACTTTACTTTGGCATTAGTCAGTCAGCTCTTTTCACGATACAACTTGACCAAAATGCAGTGGCCTGTTTTCTGACAGGAGCTAAAAAGAGGGAGCATATTATTCCAGTCTAACGATGTTTACACTGGTTGCCTGTTCACTTAAGAGGTACAGTTTTTCACCTACGTAAGCTACTAACACTCTAACAGCATACCAGATCCTTTGGTGATCAAATCAGTATCTGCTATGCATCCCTATATCAAACTTAAATATATGAGAATACTTGCCTTCTGCATTGCAGCCCCCAGGCTCTGGAATGCTAACCAATGTCAATAAGGCAAGTACCTTTCATCACCAGCTTTAAAACCAGACTTAAGAAATATTTGTTCTCACAGGCCAATTTGGCTGTTGGGAGGTATGATCATTATTTTTTGTCTGTTTGTGGTTGTCTGTCTGCATTCTGCTGATTTGTTGGAAAGCACTTTGGCCACAAAAGTTGTTAAAAAAAACCTGTGCTATATAAATAAAATTGTTAGTGAATAATCAAAGATGCAAGAAAAAGTAGTGAAATACATGTGGTTAATTTGGCCTATCAAGGTAGAAATACTCAGGACTCTTTTACTGTAGGTTTGTAATTTTACCAATGTAAGGTTAAAATTATGGGTCTTATTTGAACAAAGTTGTTAAATTGGACAATTTAACAACAGACAAAATTACTGCCTCTGTAGTTCAAGTGTTAAAGCAGAAAATGTCATTTTTTTATTTACTTTTTAAATAAACTCAAAAACCTTGTTCTAAAATATTTCACGCCCATGGTTTGGAATGGCAGTCAGCTAAACAATCTAAATTTATTTGCATTAATTTCATGCAAATATAATATCTTAACGCTATAATGATGTTTTATGGTTGTCAAAGTATTTTTTATTACCCAGACAGACAGCGAAGTGGCTGCGGCTCCAGATGCGGAAGTCAAAGAGCAGGTACTGGTACAGCTGAGACAGCAGGGCGTTGTTGCCCTCATTGGACACCTGCTTGAGCAGGAACTGACAGGCCATTAGTACACTCATGTCCATCATACTGCTGGGGACCTGCAAGAGCAAACCAACATGAGACAGGAGAAGATCACAAAGTGTCTGTCATCATAATAGTCGTCAGCTCGTTGCAATGCTTAATCAAATTCATTAAATAATTTGACGATTGAACACCATATCCACACCAGACGTGACCACAGAAAATCATTTTTCCTTTGTGTCAGTACAGCATAAATAAGCATCAGTTTACTGTTGGAGATTTATCACAGTGCACTCAAAATTACCAATATAGCATTTTTTTTTTAGTATTGTCACATTGCACCATTCAAATTTAGTGTATATAGAGTGCAATGAAGGAAATGATAAATATGGAGAGTTCAGATGCAAAAACCGTTAAGTGCCCCTAATTTAAAATGTTGAAATGTCTAAAATGAGCAATTTTCTCAGCCTCCTATGATTATGTTCAGTTATTTTACTTTAAAGAAAATGAAAAGAACATATTTATTGCCAAATTGCTGAACATACAAACAGGAGCTTGAGAAAATTGCTCATTTTAGAAGAACATTTCAGACTGCTTTTACAATAGATCTCTTGAAGTTTATAGGTGCCTTTCTCAGCACTCAAAGCATCAAAACAACATATATACCTTGGAATTGTAAGGTTCTATCTGCATTCTAGCTGATTCTAACTCACACTTCTCTCTTACGTAATAGGCCAACTTTTGGCCAGCACCCAAATTTTGACTATAAAGGTGAGGGTTTCTTGCTGAAACATTGGAGCTCAGCTGTGGGATAAATGCACATCGCCTGGCATTCTTGGACACATGTGTTGGTTTTCCAATGTAACTGCAACAGGCTCCAAAGTCTTTAAAAAGATAAAAATGATGGCACATCTCTGAGGTTGTATATAATTATATTAAATTGCTTGAGGTCTCATTATGTCTTTTATTCATGCATTCCTTATTACTCATTATAAGCCTTTTATGCAGTTTTGTTGTGTTTCGATTAATGATGTTCATGGGTATGATATATGATTATTGACTATTATTGCGATAATTGATATCAGCTTTGTGTACTAGCAATAAACAATTACATTGCTTGATTAGTATGGTGTATGACGCATTATTGGTGCTTTCTCTTGTCGATTTGCATAAACCCAAATCTTTTAGGCATGCCAAAACATTTGACATACTAAATTTTGTGTTTCAGTCTGTCTATACTAAAACAAAACTCCAGAGGCTGCAAACTAAAACGTGGTCTTTGCTGGTGCCAGTAGCCTAGTGCACCAACATAGCAATGAGATCACTGAGATCGATTCCTGACTTGAGTTCCAGACTCAGACTCAGGCTCAACTTTATTATCTCGTTTAGGAAAACTAAAATGGCAGCAAGTTGCCATAACACAGGCAACGTTCCATGTACACATTAACAAAATATTACCCCACAACATACAATATATTTTTTGTAGCTGCATTTCCCTCCCCCTGGACTAATGGCCAAGAATATAAAATAATTTTTAGTTGTATTTGTCCTGTAAATAGGAACTCTAAAATGACATTCTGATGGCAGCAGCTAAAACACAAAGAACAATGGGTGATCTGGGGTGCATAGGATACACTGAGCTCTCTTTAAAACACAAGTATGGTAAATTACCATTGAACCAGTTTGGTTAAAACCGATGATCTTGCCTGCCACTTTACAGGCGACTCAACCTGTTCTTATTTGACACACTTAGATTACAGTACCAAGCTACAATGCAGAAAGATAAAACAGATTCAATAAATTGTTTATAAAGCAACATCATTATAGAGGTACAAACCTGAAAACAATCTAAGTTTCCTCTGAAAACTTTGTTGGACTTTTTAATAGACAGCCTGGGTGTTAGGTTGAAATGTTAACATATTGTCAATAACGACCTTAGATATTTTTGTGTGTCAACAATTTCAATGTCCAAGCCTTTAATATTTGTTATGTTGGGGGGACCCAGTGGAACAATACTGAAAGTCAGAAAGAGCACCATTGACTCTGACACACTGCAGACGTCCTACTAAAAAAATCCAGAATCCATCCACAAATATTAAGATCCAAGTTAAAAAGATAAATTAATTTCTCAACCAACAAATGTGGCTTCATAGTATTGAAAGCAGACGAGAAATCAACCAGTCCTTGATCAGCAGTCCTTTGCTGATCATTCCCTTCTCTATCTGCTCCCTATGCTTTCCTGTCTGTAATCTTCACTATTCTATCCCAATAAAGGCGAAAAGCCCCTAAAAATCATAAAATTCTAAAAATAAAATAAAATAAATGAAATTGGGGTCCTTAGTGCTTTCAAAATACAATGTCTTCAGCAGGCATAAATGTAACAAAATGTACAAAAAAACACTAGTGTATACTGCACCTGAGATTGCGAGCAAGAGAATGGACCGATAAGATATAGGAACAGTGTGCCATCTTAAACAGGTGCAACTAGAGTCTAGATTTAAAAATAGATGGAGAGTCAATGGGCCCTATCATACACCCGGCACAATGGGGCGCAAGGCGCAGCGCAATAGTCTTTTACTACTTTAAGCTTGACGCAAGGGTCATTTTGAGGCATTGCGCCACGCTGTTTAAATAGCAAATGCATTTGCGCTCAAATGTGCGCCCATAGGCATTCTGGTCTAAAAAAGCAGGCATGTTTTGGCGCGTTGCTATTTTGAGAAACTGTAAGGGCTCTATTTTGACGGTCCAAAACGCAGGGCGCAAATGCTTTCAGGTCATGTCAGGACGCGTTTTTGCTAATTAAAGGACAGGAAATCTGCCTTGCGCTGCAGCGCATGTTCTAAAAGGGTTGAGTTTATTTTCTTAATGAGTTGTAGGTGTGTTTTGAGAATAAAACCAATTAGAATCTTATCTCCCATTCCCTTTAAGAGTCAGCTAAGTCGCGCCAAGAGCGCATTCGTTATTTACAGGACGCAAAGTATGTCTAAGTGGAAAAAATGAGCATTTCACAAGCAAACAGTTAACAGTTAACAGTTTTTTAACAGAAAACTGTTAAACAGAGCATCTACTGCGTGAGAATGAGAGATAATGGATCACTTTCACTGTCGCACAGACATCAATTAGTCTATAAATGAATACCTTTGTTTGTTAAGTGCAAAAATTCATTTCAAAACTATTTCTAAATTCAGTTCTAATTTCCAGCAAACGAATAAATGAATAATAATAGCAAAATGTGCTCAAAAACCTATATAATGTGACATAATGTGAGTTATATCCTAAAACACATGCTGTGCCCCATATGGTCTAAAACCTGACAGGTGGGCAAATCTAAGCTTGTTTTTAATAAAACAAATATAAATATGGATATAATAAAAAAATACTGCTAATAATAACAACTGCTAATCTAAACTCCGGCGAGGCACAACTCTGCGCCGGAGTTTAGACCAGGTTAGTTTTGGTCTAATGAAAAATCTATTATAGATTCTCAAAGTAGCAACGCGCCAGCGGTCCGCCTCAGAACGCCTTCCTTTTTAGACGAGAACACCTATGGGCGCAAAAATGAGCGCTAATGCATTTGCTATTTAAACTGTGTAGCGCAACGCCTCAAAACGACTCTTGCGCCAAGCTAAAACTACCAAAAGACTACTGCGCCACGCCTTGCGCCACACTGCGCCAAGTGTATGATAGGGCCCTAGATCTTAGAAGTGGTAGATCTTTCTCATATCTGGCACCTAAACTCTGGAACAGCCTTCCTAGCACAGTTCGGGAAGCAGACACACTCTGTCACTTTAAAACTAGATTAAAGACACATCTCTTTGCTTTAGAATACACATAAAACACAAATGTTTTCGAAATTCAAATCCTTAAAGGATTGTTAGTCTGCATTATTTAAAGTCATTAAAATTTGAACGGCATCTGTGCGTTTGTTAGTTTGTTTTTATTATTCCCCAGGTTTTCATAATCCTGGACCAAGCCGTATCCTGATCAGCTTCTGTGATGGTCATGAAGGACTGGAGAGCATGAGATTGATTCCTGTAAGACCCCAGTGACAGAAGAGTCCTCGCATTGATCCTGAAGGGCTTGCTTGTACATCAGCCGTTGACCTCGCCCACCTGCAGCATCTCCACAATGGTCGTCTAGCGTTCTCCAGGCTCCCGTGCTTAGACTGCAGATCTGCACAAGAAGTTTGGCCAGAGGAGAAATAGTTGTGCCGATTCTGAGCCTGGAAACTCTCAAGTTTTTTTTCCCCTTCACTTTCGTCAAATTGTGAGGTTTGTTCCTCGCCACTGTTGCCACTGGCTTGCATGGTCCAGTATTTGTGGAGCTGTGTATCGATGGATTTGCTCTTCAGTGTTTGGACTTTCAGCAGTGAAAATTAAACCACACTGAACTGAACTAAACTGAACTTCAACTCTGAAAACTAGACTCACATAGTTTAATCTATTATTATCTTCTATGTTAAGCTGCTTTGACAATTTACTTTGTAAAAGCGCTATAGAAATAAAGATTAATTAAATGGAAAAAAAAGATTAAATCATATTATCAAACAATCCAGTAAAATCCAGTAAAAATTAACCCAAATACAATTTTTCATATAAACGTAACATTATTTATCCAAAGAAGCATGTTATATTTAAATTTTATACTAATATTTTTTACATTTGCATTTAATTGACAACCTAATTAATTATGCCTGAGCATGTGTTAGTGTATATATGTGTGTGTGTGAGAGAGAGAGAGAGAACTTTTCAACCCTAAATCCTGAGAAACTCTCTTCAAAGGCTTGTCAAGTCACGGTACATCAGAAGCAGATCTGCTATGGCGTATAACTGCGGAACAATTTAGGCCCCTGATTAGCATCTGTTTTTTCATGAACTTCATCAGCTGTTTAATTACATGCATAGACATCACTGTCACTTATCAAATGACCAGATTTACATCACACATTCAGCAACGGATCTTCAACTGCTCTCAAAATTCATGAAAACTCCGCATCATTCTACTGTGCGTTTAAAACTGTTCCTTATACTGGTGATACATGTCACTCACGCAAATACAGTAAATGTGCTGTTTTTCAAACGTGAATTCTTGGTGTGAACGTGTTTACAGCAGACACTTGAACATTGCTTACTCGTTCCTTTTCTTAAAACCAGCAGTCATGTTTCAAAAGCTTCCTAATCAGCATATGCTTTTATTCAGCAGGGTTTCTGTTTATCTACGTAAAGCTACTTTGACACTATCTACATTGTAAAAAGCATTACAGCTCGAGTTGATGTGACTTTATGGGGTGCACTGTAATATGTTCATGCTTAGTTTAAAACTGTCCGTTGAATTCCTGGTAGTGCTTCTCAAATCTTCAAACCATTTATGAGTCTTTTGTTTTGAATCAGTGGTTCAGAGGAATAATCAAATTGGCCAGGTCAAATGACTTTGGTAAACAGAGCTTCATTACCTCACAGGTTCAATTTTAACGATCTAAGCACATAGTCTAAAGCTCACAGCACAGGTGTAATTAGGGCATATCCAAATGCACTTTTGTTATTTCAGGGACAGAAAAAATTGTCATCATGTAAGGTACATTTATTGCCATTTGTGCGCAACACTCCCAGCAGGCACACAGCCTCATGTTTATATACGGTTGGATTTAGGTTGTGACATCAGGTGACCAAAATTCAATGTCAAGCCAACGTCTGAGGAAAATGTTATTTTGACTTCCAATAATAACGTCAAATGACGTTGATATTTGGTTGATTTTAGGTTGTGTTTGAAAATGACCAAAATCCAACATCGAGCCAACATCTTAAAGGGCCATGAAACCCCCTGTCTCAGCAGGGGGTTTTCACACCACTAGTTATAAAAAAGTCAGGAAAGTGGGTGAGTCCAGCTTTGTATAAGTGGGAGTGTCCAGTGGCTAAAGAAAGAAGGTTTGCATGAAAAGGGAAGTTTCATTACGTGCACTACAACTGATTTTCACAGCGGCAACACAAACACGGATGCAGGGGAGATAGACAGTGATTCGGAAAGCAGCGTTTGTTGCAGATCTAAGAGCTGTGTGTAAGTGGAAGACTTTTAGTCCATAATATTGTAGTGGTATTACTGTAAACTTAGCAACTAAATAATTTTGACTAATTCATTAATTAATTAATTCATTCATTTATTTTCTTTTCGGCTTAGTCCCTTTATTAATCCTGTGTCGCCACAGCAGAATGAACCGCCAACTTATCCAGCATGTTTTTACGGAGCAGATGCCCTTCCAGCCGCAACCCATCTCTGGGAAACAGCCACACACACTCATTCACACTGATATACTACAGACAATTTAGCCTACCCAATTCACTTGTATCACATGTTTTTGGACTGTGGGGGAAACCCAAGCACCCGGAGAAAACCTATGTGAACGCAGGGAGAAGATGCAAACTCCACACAGAAACGCCAACTGACCCAGCCGAGGCTTGAACCAGCGACCTTATTGCTGTGAGGTAATAGCACTACCTACTGCGCCACTGCGTCACCTTATTTTGACTAATGTATATCTTTAAAAACTGAATGCTAACTTTGCCATCTGAATAAACATAAACAAAGAACACTGATCACACACTAACCAAATCCGTCACATTTTTTCACAGTGGCAAATCCGAATTTCACCATTTCCAGATTCAAAAAGCTCTCAGGTAAAAAATCTTCTTTACCAACATATATATATATTTTGCTTTATATCAAACTACTGTAATCTAACTGCTTGAAACAAGCTGAGCTCTCATCTTGGGGAAATGGAAACAAAACCTTTGTTGCAGCATATTTATAAATGCAACACTGACGGCTCATGTCTCCAAACAATTCTTCTACTACCTGTTTGAATTACAGTTGGCAACACAACGTGGCATCTCTCTGAACACTGTAACAGGTAAAAAAAGTCTTCAAAGCTATATCATGCATATTAATGAAGATGCATCTCATTCACAATAGAGCGTGTGGATTGGTTCAAACCAAGTGTTTCTCATGAATTAATGAACAGATGTGCTAAAAACTCAATAACGTCAATTTGTACCCAACGGTACAGACCGTAGCGTAGCTTCAAATGTTTTTTTTTAAAGAAGACATTTTTTTTTCTTTTTGGGACTTTTTGTGAAATTTTGTTGGGACTTTTGTGTCCTAATAGTGTTTTTAGCAACCCTGCACACATATATGACTGTCAACATCTCAAAAAAATGTGTATTGGTCTTTTGTGACCCTTTAAAGTAATGTCATATTGACGTCAAATACTGACATTTATTAGTCAGGTATGGCAACCAAAATCCAACAATTGATAGACGTCAAAGTGGTAACGTCCACACAGTGTCTAGCTGTAACATCAACATCATTGATATTTGGTTGATTTTAGGTTGGATGTTGGACATTGATGTCAGCCCGATGTTGAGTTCTGACCTCAACCCATTTTTCATTTCCAAACAAAATGCAACGCCCCCATGACGTTGGCATAACGTCAAACTGATGTGATGTTGATGTCCTGTGCCTACTGGGCTCCCTCAGTGCTTTTGTACCATGCACTTTATAAAAATAGTGTCCATGGCATTTTGAGTTATTCAAAAGAGTGAACTAAAAGGTCAATGGACAATGGATCAGTTGTTTCAGCTTTGAAAAACCGTGTTTCTCCCATTATACACTTCCTGGTTCTGTGAAGCCCCTCCCTCAGAAACATGCAAAGGACTATGATTGGTCCGCTGGCCCAGTGTGTTCTAATATAGTGTCTCCATAGAGTGTTGAAGGAAACACATAGTGTGTTGAAGGAAACATCACACCCAGAGGTCACAAACTATAGAAAAGCTCACTGTAGTCTTTCCCAGGCATTTGTAGTAAGCCTTAAAAATGTGAATATATGCGTTGTAAGTTTGCAGATGTTGTTTAGGCTAAAAAAATAACATAATCAAGCACTACTTTAAAGCTTTCTGGCACTAAAACCCTCAATGATGTGAAACTGTGGTTTTGGTTGTGTACTATGCAATATGATGTGATTGTTAGCACAAGTGTTTCCTAACAGGATGTTACATCTTAAATCTACAAACACCAATATGTCTTGTAAGACCCTCAGGTGCCCTCTTGTTTGTGCACATTTGTGTGTGTGTGTGTGTGTGTGTACCTTCCCGAGCATTGCCCCGATAATGGCTGGCCCATGGCACTGGAGCAGACTCTCCTGATTGGCTGGATGGTTGCGCAGCATGTTCTTAATCATCAGCAGAAACGCTGCCACACTGTTCTTCTCTAAACGGCCCTCTAACACACACACAAACACACCAGCAAAGTGCACATTAGCAATGTGTAACATTGACAAATAACTGCAAAAACATTGCATGAGAATCGAAACCCCAAAGGTAATATAAAGAGCAATAACACAAGATGAAAAACATTATCTTGCCTGCAGCCTCGCACACACACACACACACACACACACACACACACACACACACACACACACACACACACACACACACACTAAAAGATGACTTTATGAATCACAGTAAAATCAAACAGCATGCTCAGAAAATATGAATGGTGACTCATACAGCAATTACAGAAAACCTGACATCATCAATGTGTTTAGCAGTTCCAAAAACCACATAACAAGCTGTTAATGTTTCAGGCTGTAATACTGCAGACTGTGAAGAAATGAATCAATTAGTAAATTTTATATTACTCAGAGTTATTTTAGTATCACTGATACACAATTATAGATGACAGATTTTCTATAATTATATTTTTATATTTCCAGCTAAAATGCTAGTAATTTCATTTAATGCAAGACAAAAATAAATAAATGAATGAATAAATGAATGAATGAATGAATAAATAAATAAATAAAAACACAGCAAACATTAACACCACATCATAAATGGTGTTTGTAGTTTGTTCAAACTACTTTTTTGTATTTTTTTTTATTTGAAATGAGCTGAAACAACACAAATGTTGACTTTTCTGGGCACAACTTAATTGTTTTAAGTTCAATCCACTTAAATTTGCAAAAACCTAAATTTGCAAAAACTAATAAGTTAACTTAATTCCTTCGTGTTGTCCTATATTAAATTCATTGTGTGGGACACAATGCATATTTACAGTGCAAAAATGGCATATAATAATGGTCAATTTAGCATTTCAGCCATAATTACTTTAGGCGTCAGTGAAAATAATATACAGCTACTCATACACTTGTGTAGGTTCTTGTTTAGCATTATACTTGTCATATTATTTTAATGAACGTATATTATATACTGCATTTACAGATTTTACACAACAAATAAAAGTGAAAGCAGTGCTTTTATTTAAATAAAATTTTAATTAAAAAGCAAATGGGTATATGCACACAGACTTTTAAATTCAGTCCGGTTAATTGTCATCCTATACAAATCGCCGCGTTTAAGGTCTGATTTCTTTAAAAAAAACAGCGGTCTTCACTGTCTGGCTGAGATACGATATAAAGTGGGAATCAGACCAAACAAGAAGCACTGCATTAAATTATATTTTTCCTTGCCTTATTTTTAAAATATGGAAATAATTTTACCCCAGTATTTTCAATGGAACTTCTGTGCTAGCCTGCCGCTAAGGACGGCACCTGAGCTTACACAGTCGTTCGTCTCTTTTTACTAGGGATGGGAAGATTAACCGATATGTATCGATACGCGGTCATGCGCGTGCACGATGCGAGTGCATCGGTTGAGCAGCAGAGGATGAATGAAATTTTGGAAGCAAATTGAGATACATCGGTTTTTGCGAGATGCATCGATTTTTCCGAGATACAGCTTATATTTTTAATATAGAATGTATTTTTTATTTATTAACAAGTGTTGTCAACCTGTTTTTGGCGCATAATTTAATCGACCTACATAAAGTAAGCCTTAGCAACGGATTTGCGGATGTGCACACACTACAACTCAGTGTATCAGGTGTGCGGATGAAGCTAGTGGAGCGCCCTCAGAAAGTGCGAGAAGCAAAACAAACATTTTATTCCCCACTGAGTTTTAAATCTAAAGTATGGCAAGCAACATTATGGATTTAAGGATGGACGACATGACAGGACAGATGCAATTTGCAAAATGTGCCGCGCAAATACGCGGGCAGTACGACTAATCTGAAATCTCACTTGAAGCAGCGCCACGGTGTTGTTGTGAAAGCATCTTCCAGTGTTTCTGCATCCCCGGCTTTCGCACTGCTTCAACCAGCTCCAAAAGTGGTGAGAAAAGCATTGCAAGTTTTTTTTCCGTTCGCAACAGTTCTGCTCGCTCTACGCCAATAACGAATGTTATTGCATTGTTCATCTGCAAAGAAATTCAGCCTAGTGTCACGGAGAACGAAAGTTTTAAACACCTCCTCCTGTTAATTTTTATTTAATTATAATAATAATAATATTAATAATAATAATGATAAAGATAATTGGGTGTCACGGTGGCACAGTGGGTAGTTTGACCACCTCACAGCAAGAAGATTGCTGGTTTGTTATATTTTTATTAGCCTGTTGTTTACAGTGACAGTGATGTTTCAACGCAGCATAACACTGCTAGTTCACAACCTTAAGTTTTGAATAATCAGTGGCAAAATATATCTTTGTAAAACTTGTTTTCATAGTTGAAAAGTTAAATCACAATTCTTGTTGTGCAATGCTAAATTTATTTATGTTGAAAGAGTGCAAATATATACATATTTTTTTAATATATATTGCACTTATACATTCTGTTTATCTTGAAAATACTTAAATAATATGTGCTATATGTTCTAAAATGGCCCTCTACTGTAAACTGACACTCTGGCTCTGAGAGAAGAGCCAGTTTGTAAAAAAAAGTCTTGGTTTTGCTTGGTTTATAAATAATCAAACTCATTCAATGGCACAGCATCCTCTTTCACATCATCTCATAAACTTGATCTAATTAGTTAGTGCTGAAATATCGCATCGTATCGTGATATGGGTGTGAATCGTATCTTGTTGCATCGCAATATGTCACAAATGTATCGCTAATATATCGGATCGTATTCTTTGTATCGAGATGCGTATCGGATCGGCATTATAGCTTAGATGCCCAACCCTACTTTTTACGCTTTTACAACCAAATGGATGTTTACATCTATTTAATTGATTATGTTTGAATTACATTACATTGATGCTGTAAAAGGAACCTTATGATATTGAAAATAGTCATATAAAGCTCTAACCGAAAGTTCATCATTGGCTGAAAAACACTAGCTGTGCATATAGCCCATAAGCAAGCATGACAAGCAGGTGTCTTTGTTATCAAATAAAACAACACATGAACAATGACATTTGATACACATAGCCAAAATAGAAATATTACAATATGGTGTAATGTTCATGATAAAAGTTAACATTTTACTATATATTACTGCTATTTACATCACTTTACGAATTCGCTCACTCATTTTAGTTCCATCTTTCCTCATATAATACACACAGCTGATATACATTATATAGGGATTAGTAAATGAGTGCACAAGAGAGCAGTTTCAGACACAGCTATAAAAGGTGGTCAAATCTGCCATTACCAAGGTGTACCTAATAAAGTGGCCGGTTAATGTTGCACATCAACAATACTAACCAGATGACTTCCCCAGAGGCAGCAGCATTCCGGCGGGACCCCTAGAAGAGGTGAGCTCTGGCCCAAGCAGATCTGAAGTCTCCTGACCCACGGTCTCACGCTGATCCAGTAAACACACCTGCTCCAGCAGGGGAAGAAGAGCCCCCATCCCACCAACTGAGCTCAGCACATCCTACACACCAGACAACATCATAAAACATAATTAGCAGATGCTGCTCCTGCAGGCACACAATTTATGAGGTCCTTCTAGACGCAAAATCATGTTGAATACACACATTTACACCTAACACAGATAAACACAAAAGACTAGCGTCAAGACTAGATGAATCATTCTGATCTGTCATGAAGCTCAGTGATTGATACATGCCTTAACGTCCCAGTTCACCACTCTGTGACCAGTCAGCCTGCCATCATACAGATGATTAGGGGACAGATCCAAGCAGATCTGGCTTTTAAAGGCCTACAGTGACAAAATAACATAGAAAATGCATTAATATAAAGGCTTGGCGTATATTTCACATTATATGGAGTGGTATTCAAAGTCAAAATATTAATGTTCAAATAATATAACATTGTTTAACAACATTATTATTTCAAAAATATATATAAAAAACGCCCCCACTTTATATTAAGTGGCCTTATTTAATATGTACCTACACAAGAATTAATAGTTTGTTACAATGTATTGATTAAATACCTGTTTGTAATTACATCTGTAATTAACTTTTGTAATTACATTTATAAATACACTGTTGACCATCCCTTATACCTTTACCCACCCTTAAACCTACCCATACCACCAAACCTGTCCATAACCCAACCTCTATCCCAACTAAAAATCACCACAAGTGTTCTCAAATACATTATAAACACAGTAAGTACATTGTATTTATTTTTTTGATGCAAGAACATAGTAATAGAGTTGGGGTCGAGTCCACCTTTGTCGAGTCCAAGTCGAGACCAAGTCCTTAACCAGTCGAGTACAAGTCCAAGTCCGAGTCCAAAAGGGGTCGAGTCGGACTTAAGTCCGAGTCCTTAACATCCGAGTCCGAGTCGAGTCCGGCCGAGTCCAGACAGTCTTAAAACTCATTTATTAATTTTTCTTTTGGCTTTGTCCCTTATTTATCAGGGGTCGCCACAGAACGAACTGCCAACTAGTCCAGCATATGTTTTACAGAGCGGATGCCCTTCCAGCCGCAACCCATTTACTCTCATTCACACTCACACACCACGGCCATTTTAGTAAATTAAATTCCCCTATACTGCATGTGTTTGGACTGTGAGGGAAACCGGAGCACCCGGAGGAAACCAACACCAACACACGGAGAACATGCAAACTCCACACAGAAACACTCCTGGCCCAGTCGAGACTCGAACCAGTGACCTTCTTGCTGTGGGGCAACAGTGCTAAGCATTGAGCCATGGTGCCACCTAAGTAAAAAAGTGTAAAATAATAATAATAATAATGAATCAAATATATTTTTCTATTAACAATTAACTGTTAAATGAAAATTTTAAACTTTTGGTACATTTTTACAAAATGCCTTGTATTTTTTGTTAGCTTGCTTCAAATTAAAATGAAAATTGGAGGATATATGTAGAATTTTTATTATTTTACAAGAGTCACGCGTTTGAGATTATTCTAATGCCACTTTTTCACATTTCTTGTTTAAATTACGCTTGCATTACCAAGCCAACAATGCATTTTTTTTACATTAATTCCAGAAAACTCTGTTATCAGCCCCAGTGTGGAAAATTAAACCATATTCATGCGGACTGACCCAGATCTGCACAGAACATAAAGGTTCAGCAAAGGGAAACCATTTGGCTTCACCGCTGTCTTAACAGGGAATCAACAGTCAGATGAATTTTGTTCTAAATAAACAAAGAGTAAATAAATAGCAGGGGCGATTAGGTGCAAAATAAAACCAGTGGGAATCAGACTGAAAAAATAGTCCAGTGCAGATTTCTAGGCACATGATCTGGGTCTATCTGTTAATGATAGCCTGAAACAGGGGTTCTTAATGTCTACATTAAAAGTTCCAAATCTGAATTTTTTTTATTAAGGTCAAAGGTATGAAACAATTGATATTACATAACTTGTTTTTAATAAACATCCATAAGATGCAGCACCATGGCGCAGTGGGTAGCACAATGGCCTCACAGCAAGAAGGTTACTGATTCGAGCTGGCTTAGGGCAAAATAAACACATACTTATCTGTTCATTCAACTTTGAACTGTCTATTCTCTTAATCAATTCTTTTCAGTGAGGCCGACATCTTCTTCCATTCAAATGATTGCTTTGCTGCAGTGTGTTAAAGCAGGCGTGTGCGCGCGATTATCCAGCATGATCATGATTAGGCCCAGCCCTAACCAATTTGGAGCCCTAGGCAAGATTTCAGGTGAATTCCAGTAAATTCCACTGCTAGTGTAGATATACTCATAAGACACTTATTAGCTTTGTCTTGGACATTCTTTCATTTTAATAAAGCAAGTGTACATTCCAAATACTTAGAAGTTTTTGCAACTCTGGGACACCTCGAAAAAATACGCAGCGATTATGCATTGTGAAACCTGTGTAAGTTTTGCAAGTGGACAAAACAAAAATTAAAACAATATGATGATGATCTTATTTTAACTAAACATGCTATGAAGCAGAAAAGAAGGATGAAGAGTCAGACAGGTAAAATTAGGCCTAAAACAGTTCACAATTCAGGTCTAAAAAGACAACAGATAATTCTCATTCATTCATTCATTCATTTTCTTTTCGACTTAGTCCCTTTATTAATCAGGGGTCGCCACAGCGGAATGAACCGCCAACAACCATGTTTTACACAGCGGATGCCCTTCCCTTCATATGCTATGGCCAATTTAATTCATCAATTCACCTATAGTTTTTGGACTGTGGGGGAAACCGGAGCTCCCGGAGAAAACCCACGCCAACACGGTGAGAACATGCAAACTCAACACAGAAACATCAACTGACCCAGCCGTAGCTCGAACCAGCGACCTTCTTGCTGTAAGGCGACAGTGCTACCCACTGCGCTACCGTGCAGCCCACAGATAATTCTATAAAACACATCTTTTTGTACCTTATGGAATTGTCAAATTAAATTAATATTCTTGCAAAAGACTTCTCAAATGATCTTAATACATCACTCCTGTTGTGTCTTTGTGTTCCAGTTACATTTAGGACAATTTCTGTTATTTATTTAGAATATTAATTGTATAATAATAATAATAATAATAATTTTCATATATTTAAAAAAAATTATATATATATATATATATATATATATATATATATATATATATATATATATATATATATATATATATATATATATATATATATATAATATATGAATGGAGGGTGGGGGGCTTTTGAGGATAGGTCATGGTCCTGGTCCTCAGTTCAAAAGACAGTGATGATGACATCAGCATATAACTATGCATAATTCTGAATCATTTTAAAATGAAACATTTGAGATGATTAATTATGCAATACACATATTCTTGCACTCTGTCATTGACTACATATAAATAGAATCAGAAATGTGTCATTATCAGATTGTCTCTTGCATATTCAACATGTAGGGCAGATATATACTGCTACTCACAATCAGTAATGTTTATTCTCACACAGATGACTCACAATGTGTACGCAGGCACCCCTAATCTCTCCAATGTCTCTCATCAAAATATTACCTGAATATTATTTTTTACACAAAGTCAAACCTCATTCTATCTTTAAAAATATTAAATTATTGCTTGAATTTGTGGACTTAGTCCAGTGATTATCCATTCTGAATGTTGTCTGGATTTGAATATAACTCTACATTAAATCCATTTGTGCTTATATTGACTTAATTTAGCTTGGAGTTGCATATTATATTATTACAACATTTTTGCTATTCCATCATTTAATTACTGTAATTTTACACACTCGTTATACTCTCCTAACCTTACCCTCAAAAGCAGAAGCTGATCTGGGATCTGGGATGAGTTTATTATACGGAACGCGTCCGTCAGTCAGCATGTATAGGCTACACTGATTCAGAAATGTGATGATCGACACATCTTTAATGGAAAGAAAGTGAATGCAGACGTTTTTGTATTCATTTTAACGTGCTTTCAAGCCAAAATAAAGCAAAAGCACAATTCTCTTGAACAGCTCTTGCAGTTCTATCGCATTTCAGATCGCTGTGTTGATGGTACTTTCACTTTTCATAGAAAGATTAAGCATAAGGTGGAAGAATTGGAAAATTAATCGGGATGATAGCGGGATGTCTTTACAAGAGTTACAGGAAAAATTTGAATATTAAGGAGTGCGGATTTGAGAAGCCCTGGCTTAAATCAAGCGCTGAACGCATAATTCTCTGGCTCAGAGCCAAAGCGCAAAACTTTGGATTTGGCAGTTATTTGCGGATATATTGACACACATATATATAAAAAAACAATATCGCCAGTATGTTTTAACATCATCCCTACGATATGAATGTACAATTCAAGTAAATAAGCTCTCACCTTTCTCTGTTTTCTTTTAACATGTCGGTAGAAGACAATTTATTGCTGATTTTGAAGACATTATTGTCCTAAACTTAGCCACGCATTGTGTGATATGGCTATTTCTGGTTACACGTTTAAGGTGATGACGTGCTGCTGCTGCCTGCTGGTACGGTGCGGTGGCATAAATAAAAGCTGGCATGCAGCCAGAGAGATCGCTAATTCTTGTTATAGTTTTTTGCTGTTATTTATTCATTTTAAATATCTTATATTTGTTTTGGAAATGATGTGGACTCGACTGGACTCGTGATATTTTCCGAGTCCAAAATGTCCAAGTCCGAGTCAAGTCCGAGTAAAAGTTTACCCAAGTCCGTGACAAGTCCGAGTCCAATCAAAACTGGACTCGAGTCCGGACTCGAGTCCGAGTCCAGGGTCGAGTACCCCAACACTACATAGTAATTAAGGACACTTAATATAAAGTGGGACCTAAAAAACACATTTGTAATAATAAGAACCTAATATATTTAAATACAACTTGGAAACGGAAATGTATACAATTTGTAAATGAGAATGTTTTAAATATTTGGGATATTTCATAGGATGTTTGATAGTTCATCTGTACTGAAATTATTGTAGTTGCTTGAAATGTAATAAAGTGAAATGAAAAAATATATAATGTATAAAAACATCATTGCATTAATATTATATTTCTTAAACTGACAACAATGACAATTATGCCACCATTTACTCACAATTCACTTGTTCCAAACCTGCTTGAGTTTCTTTCTTCTGTTGAACACAAAGGACGATATACTGAAGAATGTTGGAAAAAACACCCATTGACTTCCATAGTGTGTTTTGTTCCTACTATTGTTCCTGTCAATAGCTGCTTTTTCCCCAGCACTCTTCAGATCATCTTGTTTTATTTTCAACAGTACAAAGAAATTTATAAATGTTTAGAACACTTGTGTGTGAGTAAATGTGATAAAATGTTTTTAAATTTTTGGGTGAACTATGCCTTGACAAGATTAAAACATTTAACATTGATCTTCTAAACCAAATACCAAATATAAATATATAATCAGACCTTTTGCGCAAAAACAAAAAAGTTCACATCAGATTGAAAACACAACAGTGCTGACACTAAAATTAAAGAAATACTCTACTTTTTTGATAATAGACTCAATTCAGTAAAGATTAGTTTTACCATTTTTGAATCCATTCAGCTGATCTCTAGGTCTGGTACTTTTAGCTTAGCTTAGCATAGATCAGAGAATTGGATTAGACAATTAGCATCTTACTCAAATAAGCCTAAAGAGTTTTAATATTTTGCTATTTAAAGATTGAAGCTGCTGTAGTTACAATGTGTACTAACACTAACTAAAAATTCATTCATTAATTTATTTTCTTTTTGGTTTAGCCGCTTTATAAATTTGTGGTCACCAAAGTGGAATTTACCACCAATTTATCAAGCATATGTTTTAAGGGCAACAGATGCCCTTCCAGCCGCAACCCATCACTGGGAAACACCCATACAATGTAGCTTCCCAATTCTCCTATACCACATGTCTTTGGATGTTTGGGGGAAACCGGAGCACCCGGAGGAAACCCATGCGAACACAGGGAGAACATGCAAACTCCACACAGAAATGCCAACTGACCCAGCCGAGGCTCAAATCAGTGACCTTCTTGCTGTGAGGTGACTGTGCTACCCACTGCGCCACCATGATGTCCTGACTGAAAATGAAACATTGCTATTTTCTAGGCTGGTATGGTCAGGAACTATACTCTCATTCTGCCATAATAAGCAAAGAACAAGCACAGTTACAGTATGCAGATTCTAACGGGTAGTCGAAGTGTAGGGTTTGGTGCTAGAGACTTTTCTCAAGTGATGTGTAATATTAAGCCTTAAAATGGAATATTATATAAATGCTCTGGGCGAGATGCTAATTGTCTGATCCAATTGAATGATCCATGCCTAGCTAAGCTAGAAGTATTTCCACAGACTCAAAGACAGGCTTAATGGGTTAACAAATGGCAAAACTCCTTTAGGGCAGCTGTGAAATGAACCTATTTTGAAACAAAGTGGAATGTTCATTCACCTAAAAGTAATACCACAAAGATAAAATATGTTTTGTCACTTAAAATAAAGTTTAACGTCAAACAAATAAATAAAGTCAAAATAAATTACTTTAAAAACTAAAATAAAATGAGTGCAAACATTGTATGCAAGGACAAAGCCACAACTAACAAGCTAAACAATGTAAAAAATGTCTGAAAGAAGATATTTACCTTTGGAGTATAGTAAAGCACTAGTTTACTGTTGACTTCTGAAGGTTCTCCATCGGCTTTGAACAGAGAAACATTATTGGGACCTGAAGAGAAACAAATACAGCAACTCATTAATGTCTGTGTCCTGCTGGTTTCAATGTTTGATGCAGTTGAAGTCATAATTTTAGCCCTCCTGCATATTTTTTACGCATTTCTAAACATAATAGTTTTACTAACTAATTTCTAGCAACTAATCTCTTTTATCTTTGCCATGATGACTGTACATAATACTTGAGTAGATATTTTCAAGATATTCCGCTTAAAGTGCAATTTAATGGTTTAACTATGTTAATCAGGCAAGTTAGAGTAAAAAATGCAAGTCATTGCATAACAATGCTTTGTTCTGTAAACAAACAAAAAAAAACTGTTTAAGCCTGTTAGCTCTCTGCAACTCTCAAACGGTCGCCAACTGAAGAAAAGCAGATCAGTTACTAAATTGGAGACCACATTGAAAAACAAGGCTCCTGTCGGAAGTGGTGTTAGTGAGACTAATAGGGGGCACTCAGTCTGCAGTCTGTGTAGGTCCTAATGCCCCAGTATATTGATGGTGAGTGTATACTGCTCAGTGAGCCTCGTCTTTCGAATGAGATGTTAAACTAAGGTCCTTACTAAACCAATGTCCTTTTTAAAAAAGGAGTATGGGTTTAACCCCAGCATTCTGGCCAAATTTGCTTACCGGCCTCTGTCCATCATGACCTCTATACCATCCCCTAATAGGCATCATAACTCAGTCTCCTCTCCACCAATAAGCTAGTGGATGCTGCACACTGGTGATAGATGAGGAGATTCCCCAAAAAATGTATAAAGGCTGTCCAGAAAAGTGCTATATAAATGTAAGGAATTATTATTATTATTATTATGGACTAATATTGTCAAATGGTTTTTATTCTAGCCAAAATAAAAACAAGTAAGACTTTCTCTAGAAGGAAAAAATATTATCTGAAATACTGTGAAAGATTCTTTGCTCAGTTAAACATCATTAAGGAAATATATATAAAAAATAATAAATAAAAGTTTAAAAAATAAATCACAGGAGGGTGATTAATTTTGACTTCAGCTGTATGTGCACTATGTGTCTCTTTCATACCCGCAGTGAACAGGGCTCGAGCTTGAGCTGGCTGCAGAGCTTCGTGACAGATGAACGCCGTCGCTAAAAGGCCCCCCAGTGAGGATGGAGAGCCCCAAGCCGTGTCCTGAAGCCCTGCTTGGATGGTGTGGACAGGACTCTCGCGATTCCCACCTGGCCGCCCTCCTGCAGCTGCTGCAAAGGATGCTGGGAAGGACTGTGAACGTAAAAGAGTGGGCGGCCCAGTATGAGCTGCGAATGCCATCTCGGAGGGCGAGTGGGGCGGGTTGGGTAGAGTTGGAGAGGTAGTCATGGTGGTGGTAGTGGTCCGGTGACCAGCTGATCCTATGCAGCAGGATGTGAAAGGCTGAAATGTGGATAGGCAGATCAATAAAGCAAGTTCATTGAAATATATATTAAAAAATCTAATAAAAGCTAAAAGAAAATAAAACGCACCTCATTCAGAGAAGGGAAACGCAGGGGGGCTGTTTTACACTGCACTCCGTCCACATAAACAGTGACCACGTTCTGTCCAAAAGGTCGACGGCCAGGAACGTGAACGATGGCTACTGAGTGCTAGATTGAAGAAAACAAAGGCAGAAAGATAACAATATATAAAAATGTATTTGTACTTAACTATAATTTCTAAACACTTAAAATAAATATAATTATAAAGGTTATAAAATAAAAAATAAAGAAAGAAAAAAATTCAAATGCAAATATTAATCATTAAATATGAATTATCTTTAACTGTCATAAAGTGAATAAATATTTAATGAGTAATTTGAACTTTGAATATTGGTGAATGATGGAATATTTGTTTTTCTGTAACTAATAAATGAACTAAAATGCAAAAACAATTATTTAAAAAATTTAATCAAAAACAATCAAAATCACACAAAAAAATGTATAAAATGCAAAGAATAAAAAACAAAGATTTTTAATGTGCATATAACTTCATGAAATTATTATTTTCCTTTTAGTGTTTTGTTTATACAGTGCTAAGCATATATGATAACATCCCATTTTGAAAATGAATATTTTTATCCATTTCCCAGTGAAAATGGGTAATATATATTGGTTCATTTGGACAAAACAGATTTTTTAAACAGATATATTTATTAAAATAATATTATAGTCACAGATTTAGAAATGAAAAATAATAAATTTAAATTCATGCAAATTATTGCAAAAAAACTTTCAACAAAATTGTTTTATACACTTTTTGTTTCTCTTGATTTTTGCTACTTTTGAAAATTGTATTCAATATTTTACCCTAATATATAAATTTGGGCTACTAATTTCTAAACCATTATTGTAAGTTATTTTGTTAGAATAGCTCCAGATTTGGCCTCAGTACTGACTAATGTAAATGCACAAATATGATATTGTAAAGCATTCAAGAGATTTTTGGGGGGTGTACTCATATACAGTTTAAGTCCGAAATATTAGCCCCCCTGTACAACTTCTGTTTGACGGAGAGAAGATTTTTTTCAACAAATTTCTAAACATAATATTTTTAATAACTCATCTCTATTAACCATGATGACAGTAAATAATATTTGACTAGATATTTTTCAAGACACTTCTGTACAGCTTAACGTGACATTTAAAGGCTTAACTAAGTTAATTAGGTTAACTAGGCAGGTTAGGGTAATTAGGCAATTTATTGTATAATAATGGTTTGTTCTGTAGTCTAACGAAAAAAAAAATTGCTTAAAGGGGCTAAAAGTTTTTGACTCTAACATGATTTTTTTATTTTAATTAAAAACTGCTTTTATTCTAGCTGAAATAAAACAAATAAATTTTCACCTGAAGAAAAATCATTATCAGACATACTGAGAGAGTTTCCTTTGGAAATACTTTCTCTTACGTTTTGATTTTTCTTTGAACAATTTGCAAATCAAAAAATCAATTGACATTTTTTTAAACATAATTTACATATATTATTTAATGTGAATATACATTTGTATCACATAATTATTTTCCTTTTAACAATTTGTATTTTAATGCTCTGTAATTGATATTCTATTGGCAAATAAGAAAATCAAAAAAATTTCAAACCATAAAAAAAACAAAGCTACTATAACATCAAAATATATAAATTACTTTATACTGTACAAGTGAAAATGAACTCTGTATATTACCATCTTTACATTTATTTTAGTGAACAAAGTTATTCACCCATACTTCAACAGATTTTAACATTGCTAAGTTGGAGGGCCTATTGTAAAATGTGCAATTTAACAATGGCATTATAATGTTTGCTAATGCTAATAATCATAATAAATGCTAATGGTAAAGTGCTAGCACAAGCTAATTCTGCAGTAAAAATTTTATGAGAATAAAACGGTTACTGGATTATTTTATTTTTTTATTTTTTTACAAATTTTATTAACCACTGCCTATTTAGCTATATTTCTATAAAATGCAGTGTGTTGTTTAATTTGTTTAATTCATTTGATCTGGACCTATAAAGAAAAGGATACATTTAGAACTAGCTCATTTAGCTTTAAAGCTGTTGTTTTAATTTCATGATGTGTATTGTTTTTCAACTAAAACTTACTGACAACACACAAAAAATGCTGTATTTTTGAGATAAATGCACTTATGCTTTTGTAAATAATGTTACTTTTATCATAACACCATTGTTATTCATAAAATAAGGTGTGTTTGAGAATTCATTTGCAAAAAAAAAACTGCAGTAATTTATTGTTTAAAACAAAGGACTCCAACTCAATTCCTGGAGTGCTGCAGCTCTGCATAGTGTAGGTGCAATCACCTCCAACACACACCTGCTTAATAGTCTCTAGTAGTCTTAAACACCTTGATTAGTTTGATTAGCTGTGTTTGATTAGGGTTTGAGCAAAACTGCAGAGCTGCGGCCCTCAAGGAATTGAGTTTGAGACTTGTTTTTCAAATCAGTAAAGTGTATTATATTATATATTTTAGTATTTACAACCTTGATGTTAATGAATGCTACAGCATACAGTTGTATTAACTATAGTGAACTAAAAAACTCTAATAAATACTGTAGTATACTTTAGTTTTTACTACAGTGAACTGTGGTGTATTGTGGTATAAAATATATTCATTTTGGAGAATTTTGAGGATTAACAGCAGCTAAAATCACCAAAACAGATTAACTCAAGTACTTTACAACAGCATGTTTCAATAACACTATAGTATTTACTTTATTTACTATATTTTCAATTAAACCACACCACAGTTCTATCTTCTCATCTGTGCTTCTCTATTTTTTTAATGCACACCAGGGTTCAAATGGCACTTGTTCAAATGAATCACCATAGTGGAGCAGAGTTCATTTTAATCTATCCAAACAAGCCAAGTGTGAACACACCCTTAGTTTTATACAAGCGCTGTGTCTTTCTGCTGTGTGTAATGTGTGTGTGTGAAGAATGTGTAAATTCACTAACCCAAGCACAGTCATTGAATGGGTGCTCCGGTAAAGAAACGGCCATGTATTCCTTTTTAGTACATACTGCCACCACCAAAACTTCTTCTGTGGTGAAAAACGCCTCAAAGCCAGTTCCGCTTGCTGTAAAGAAACTACACACAGGACACGATACAGCTTTTTAAAAGGTAGACGTTCACTCAAAATAAGTGCAAGATGCTTAAAAGCACAACAAGTTGTCAGTATTCTTCACTAGTTATTACTAGGGCCAGACGGAATCGGTGGACATTTTTTGCTATTTCTGCGCAGAATTTTGTTAAAAATCTGTGGATTTATGAAGAATTGTTTTGGGAATATTAAAACTAAAACCTTAATATATAAAAAATAAAAAGTAATACCCTTTTAACTTGTATTTAATGCTACAATGCAAATCCAATTAGATCCACTTTATTTGGTAAGCAAAGCAAGTCTTCTATATAATATTTCTACTAAAGAGAGAAAAGATGACTTTACAAACTGTAATGTGAATAAATTATATTATTATTTTCAAATTTGTCAATAATATTACTAAAATTAATTTAAAAATGGAATAAATATAGATTTACACACATTTAGACAAGTAAATAAACAGAATCAATGATGGGCAAGAAATCTGCGGAATTCTGCGCTCGCAGATTCGGTGTGGGCCTAGTTATTACTGCAATTCATAACAAGGCCCCAGCAATATTCGTACTGAATATTTGTACTCGCATTGATATTGAATATTCGCTCACAATGAATTTATATACAATATTAAATTAAGCAACAGTAAAACTGCTGTGTGTCTTATTTTAAAAAGTAATATATTACAATTGAACAATTACTTGCAAATTGTAATCTGATTACATTACCAAGTACTGCATGTAAAAAGTAATCAGATTACTTATTACATTAAGAAATCACAACTAGGACCCAGCAACATATTGAACATTCCCTACTTGTTCACTATGATTTTATTTACAATTTTAAATTAAACAACAATACTGCAGTCAGTGTGGCTTATAGTAAGTTACACAAAAAAGTAATAAATTACGACAATTTACTACTTGAATTGTATTGAATTGAATGGTAATCTGATTACATTACTTAGTGCTGTTTGTAAAATGTAATCAGATTACTAATGACTTTACTATAATTCACAATTAGGCCCCAGCAACAAACTACATATTTACTAATCGCTCACTATGATTTGATTTAGAATATAAAATTAAGCAACAATAATACAGCAGTCAGTATGGGTTAAGTTACTCAAAAAAGTAAAAGATTACAAATGACCAATTACTAAGTGCAAATTGTGATCTGATTTCATTACTAATTAATGCATAAAACTAAAATGTCAAAATGGTAGTTCTTTTGTTAGTTTTAATATTGACCGAAAAATATTACAAAAGGTTGCATCACTTTATTCACATTCTTCTTTATTATTTTAAGACATTTAACAATCAATGAGACTCAGCATTGGAACAATATATTTCTAAACAGATCCAGTGATGCGTTTCTTGCATTGAGATTCATACAAGCACATTTCAGACGGTTCGCAAGGGTACTGTGTAACACATTATTAACCCTGATTGCAATTAATTTTTGTTTAAATATAAAGTTTTGTGATTTTTCTTTGTGGCCATGAAAGGTACGACAAGATATTTTAATGCCATCTCTGATTTAAACCCCAGAGGTAAAACTGTGAGTTATATTTATGTGCTAAAATGAATGTACAAATAATCAAATACTATCGATGCATATATAAACACAAATTTAAATATTACTGTACATAATGTTGATGTTGTGTTGCGTAATCCCACCTTTCTTAAACACAAAAGATCATTTTAGTTCATTAAACAGTTTGTACTATTAAAACTACAACAGTAACATTTGTGTTTAGTACAGTGTTAGATTTTTTTTTAAATTGACATAACAATTATTTTGCCAAGTTTGTGTGACACTGAGGACACTTTGCCATTACATTTCTGAATTACATTTTAAAATAAAAATCTGATCAAATAAATGCAGAGTGTAACAGACCATATATCTCAAATATGGCACAAATACTTAAAATCATCAAAAAACATACAGCTTTTATTTAGATTTTTGAATGCACTGAAAAACTCATTTTATTTTTTTATTCATAGCCTTTGCTCCCTTAACCACAAGTTTTACCTGTATGTCAGCAAGAAGGTTTAAATCATGAAACATTTTTAAGTAAATTTGTATGATCATCACCTATTTTAAAATATATCCCAGTCATAATAAGTAGTTTTATCATCTGACAGATAATCACTTGTTCGGGAATGTCTGGAGCACTCAACCACCATAGAAGGTTCATGGACAAAATACAAATATAGTAAAAATAGGGGACTCCAGCAACACTAGTGATAAAAGAAGAACATTTTAATGAAATAGAATAAATTTAAATGAATTAAATGCCTTCCTCAAGGCAATATTTTAACAATACCTGTCTGACAAAATTATTTGAAGCTTAAAACTACTCTAGCATTCAAAAACTTCATACTAACTAGCATAAACTAGCATAAAAATCCCTTTGTATTTAATTTAAAATTGTATTTAATGCGGACACCAAATATAGTGTGTGTGTGATTTTGTCAAATAGGGTAATATTCCGTATTAACATTTATGTTGAATCTCAAACACCATTTCTGTTAGAAAATGTAATCCACATAAAATATCTAGCCCTAAACCTAACCTAACTGAAAATCATTTCCAAAATCAGTCAAATTGATAGTTGAATAACAATTATGTAGAAACACAAAGCCCTAACTGCAAGCCTAAACTTAATATAAACTGTAAACCTATCAGGCAACGTGATCTGGAATTTGCTGAGTTTTATTTCAGTATGTTGATGTACTTCCAACTGAAACTGAATATTTAGTAGGGGTGGGGCTTTCTTTTGTCAGTCATTCTCATATCAAACTAATTTAAGAGCAGTGTGGCTAAGGATAGTCTTCTAGGAGCTATGAAAACCCTCAGGTTGACGTCAAGGACCATGTCCAAAAGCGCAAGCAAATGGTCAGACTTTGTTATAAGATTACCAAAAAGCATTTTTCCCCGGTGGATTAACTTGCACAGATTAATAATTACCTTAAGAATAACAATGTGAACAACTGAAACAAGCATAGAATTGTTTGATTTCACACAGACCTTAAATCTGATTTAGATTAACGTTCCAGGATCAACACAGATAGATGTTGATCCAGTAGCATGTCCTACTTGGTGAAACCTTCAAACAGTCAAATCAACTTTGGATATCTATGGCTAAACTAGTATAATAAATAGTAAATATACATTTTTATTTGAAAAACTGTATTTTTTATTAAAAAAAAATTCAGAACAAACCTGTAGAGCTGTTTCCTGCGTGGTCCTTTAGCCATGCGGACAGTATTATCCATGTTTGTCAGGTGTGATTCAGAGTAGTGGTGCTGTGGCGGAGGAAAGTCTGTGTTGAGGCACAGCCAAGCATGGAAAGCAAACGCGCTCCCTGGCCAGCGTTGTATTGCTGGCACCATGATACCCGCCATAGGGGGCGTAAGGTCAAAATACTGCAAGGCGCTGCAACCACCCTCCCCACGTGCAGCCATGGCAGAAAGCACCCTCACCACCCGACCGCAGTACGGATGCGGAGGAGCCCCGGGTTCAGTCCGCAAGAGCTTCAGCAGGCTCTTGAGCTCGCAGGGTCGTAGAGAAAGCGAGCCCAAATCTTGTAGCAAACCCAGGAGAGAGTCTGCACACTGCCGGTCCAGCCGCTCCGGGGGTTCTGACAGCACCTCCAGAAGGGAACCCACCAAACCAGCTTCAACCGAAACCGTGCGGCAGGACAGAGTGCCCCGACATACAGCCGCCAGCCACTGAGAAACCAGCAGCTGCAGAGAGCGAGAGCCCAGATCTGGCAACCACTGCAGCAGCAGAAGCAGAGGCTGTTCATTACTGATGCCCAACTGCATGGCCTGAGAATGCTCTCCTTCAACAGCCTGAAGAAAAACAACAACATGCAGAAGAAAACGTGAGGACACTGTACACTAGTCAACATTGGAAGTTTATCAAAAAGTTTTCCTACAGCAAAACTAGAATCAACTACTTTGATGAAAGGTGGAAATCCACTTCAAATGTTGACTAGTGTAAACTGAAAATATTATATGATTATTAAGCAGTGTTGGGAAAATTACTTTTAAAACAAATTTATTTTGCTTATCTTAACCTTAAAAAGAAACACTCGCAAAAATTTCACAACATAATTTTCCATTACTTTCCATAAAAGTTAAATATGTAACACAGTTAGTTACTATTTTTTTTAAGTGACTCAAGATTTTAATATTTGACTTTTAAAAGTAACTTAACCCAACAGTTAACTTAACCCAAGTTCATCAGGTTTCCAACTTAACTTTTTAAATTATAGTTCACCCAAAAAGAAAATTCTGTCATTATTTACTCTTTCTTTACCCTTATGAGTTTCTTTCTTCTGCTGAACACAAAGAAAGATAATTTGAAGAAAGCTGACACCATGCAAACATTGACTTCTATAGTAGGAAAAACAAATACAATGGAGGTCAGTGATTACAAGTTGAGCGGGAAACACCAAAAGTGGGAGTAAATAGTAAGTAAATATTTATTGATGGGGGAACTATCCTTTCAAATCAGTTTAATGTAATTTAAGTAAAAATTACCCAGAAGGTTAATTTGTTTCAACTTACATAATATTATTATACAAACAAGTAAAAATATCAAATATCCCATAATTTCTAAAAACAAGCATGTTATCACATTTTATCATATTTACTTACACCTAAACCAAATACACTATACATATACAGTATATACACACAGTTAAAGTCAGAATTATTAAACCCCCTGAATGATTCGCCCCCAATTACTGTTTAATGGAGAAAAGATTTTTTTCAACACATTTCTAAACATAATAGTTTTCATTTCATTTTCACTCATTTCTAATAACTGATTTATGTTATCTTTGCCATGATGACAGTAAATCATTTTTGAATAGATATTTTCAAGACATTTTCTATACAGCTTAAAGTGACATTTAAAGGCTTAACTAGGTTAATTAGGTTAACTAGGCAGGTTAGGGTAATTAGGCTCGGTCTTGTATAATGATGGTTTGTTCTGTAGACTAACAAAATATATATATAGCTCAAAAGAGCTGATGATTTTGACTTTAAAATGTTTTTTAAAAATTAAAAACTGCTTTTATTCTAGCTGAAATAAAACAAATAAGACTTTTACCAGAAGAAAAAATATTATTTGAAACATTATTTGGGAAATATTTTAAATAAATAAATAAATAAACGTGGTTTAATAGCTCTAATTTTAACTGTATATATATATATATATATATATATATATATATATATATATATATATATATATATATATATATATATATATATATATATATATACAGTATATATATATATATATATATATATATATATATATATTATTCATTCTTATTTTAACTGTAATGTAAGAAATATCTTTTTTACCCAATCAGTGTGCAAGGGTTATCTGACTAAATGCCAGAAGGGAAGAAAATTAAGTTCACTCACCATGTTCATCAGCTCCTGCAATAGTCTTTTGGTGGGCTGCCCTTGACTTTTCAACACATCGAACAACTGTGAGTAACCGATCCGTTCTTTGAAGACCTCCTGGGAAGACGAACCAAGCCACACAACAATTACATTACAAATAAATACAATGCTTTAAACTTAAATAGTGTTCTAGCGCCCTCTTCCCCAAAACCCAAACACAAAAGGTAAAAACTTCATAGAACCATTTTCACAATTTTAATATAAGAGGATGTTGATCAAATTTATACTTTCAAGAGAGTTTAACTAAAATTGACATTTGGTCATCATTTACTTAACCCTTGTTTATTGTTCATATCTACTACACTTTCGTAATGTTAGTTGCACTTTTTGCCCCATTGACTTTTTTGATTGCAAAGCCTATATCTCCTGCGTTACATCAGAAAAACAGCAGTCAGTGAAAGAGACAGACATGGATGAAGCAAAAATCCAGCTCATTAGTCAAAAATAACAAGTCTATTTGACGTATTTGTGGTGGAGCTTATTCAAGCCTTTCTGAAACGATGAGTCACACACAAATGCAGTTACAAAGTTTACAGTACACACACATTTACTGACACTATTCAGCTGTGGTGATTCCAGCGGTTAGGAATTACAAAGCTATTTTACATTGTTTATTACAAACACGCACTTTTTAAAATAACGCTTTAAACTAGTAAAACTCCTTCTTGAGGTGCAGCTTATCATGGATCAGTGGAACAGATCTTTTATTCCCAGTTTCTCCGCAAATTTTGTTCTGTGGACATGTGTATATGCCTTTCTGCAGAGACATGTCAATATGTGCCTGTCATTTATTTTGGTGGGCGAGGAAAACTGCACTCCTACATTTCGTTGTGGTGGGCCTCAAAGTCCCTGGGATTTGGATCTTATTTTAATGTAAGGAAATTTTAAAAACAGACTTGCGTTTATATTACTCCAATATGACTGTGGACACACTATACCTACAAACAGTTCAGCTTGAACAGCTTCCAAAAGTTGATTTAAAAAGTTCAGTCTGCAGTGTAAACAGGCCACCCAGAGTATTTACTGGAACAGTGTGGCATAAAAAACAAACAAATAATAAAACAAAGTCATAAAATTTCATGGATGGCCACAATATAAGGCAAGCTTTGAAAAGGGGGCGGTGCTAAAGTGTAGGTCAGCACAAATTATAACTGACCCAATAGCAAAAACTTTAGCCAATAAAAACAGTGTTTGTACATACACAAGCACCAGCAAAACAGCCTGTTTAATTGTAACAAATAATATGAAAAATTACATTATGACTGTTTTTGGTACATGAAAACTTAACTAACATGATCAATTGAGAAAAAAAAAAAAGTGATCATGGCATTTCTTATAAGTAAATACCATAAAATGAAGGAGGAAGTGAATGTTGTAACGTTACCGCAGCTGACCTGCTTCTGCAGCACCACATCATGCTGATAAGATTAACCACACACGCATAAGGGGCACATATATCATACGCAAGCACTTTGACTTATCACACTGATAAGACCAGAGACGTCTGCTGGCTGACCTTTTCAAGCCTTCAGGAGAAACATATATATGAGGAGCAAGAGGAGAGAAGGTGTGAGAAAGAGACAATGGAGGCATCTCATACCTTAGCAGAGGGAGAGTTACTCATGATGGCGGTCAGGACTCGAATGGCGTGGACTGTGATGCAGTCAGAGCCCTTTTCCCACACCTACACACACACACATACAAACAAAATATGTCATTTAAACATACAAGTATTAAAGTATTAGTTCCCCCAGGAGTTTTATTTAAAGGATAGTTCATCCCAAAAAAAATGAAAATTGGATGTTATTATACTCATACTCAGATTTTTATGATTTACTTTTAAAAAAGAGACTATTTGGATATAGCTTAGTAAATTGTCAGGACTTTATCTACTTTATCATACTGTTAATGAGTAAATGAATAAACAAACAAATGAATAAATGAATAAATAAACAAAGTACTCAGCATAAATGAATACACCACCTTTTGAAAAGTTATATTTGTATAAATTTCTCTCTAAAAATAGGCAATAAATGTTGGTGCATTAAAAAAAACTGTTTTATTGAAGAGTAATAAAACAAAAAAAGTTTTATTAAACAGCTATATCTATTAAAATAAGAGCTCAGTCACCTAAAATCTTTAGTACCACAAAGACAATTGAAAAATTCAAAGGAGTTACTGCTATTTATTGCTATTAATTTAACTATTTACAGTTTACAGTATACTACTATACATTAATACTGATGATATTACAAATAATGTTTCTTGTAAAAATGATAATATTGCTCAATAAGAGCTTTAAGGGATAGTTCACATCAAAATTCTGTCACATTTACTCTCACTTTTCTTTTCTATAATTAAAACTCTAAAGAATATATTTAAAAAAGAGATGAAAACCTGTAACCATTGACTTCCATAGTATTGGTTTCTTTCGTACAATGGTAGTTTCATTTTTGCAATGGTAGTCAATGGTATCAGGTTTTCAGGTATCTTCTGAGTGACTAAATAGTGAGTACATTTGAATTTTTCAGTGAACAACCCCTTTAGGTTATTGTCAGGATATGCATTATGAATTTAGTTTTGCTTGTATATATTTTAAAGCGCCACTTTATGAATCACCAAGTTTTAGCTCAAAGTCTTTGCTATTGCTACACCCAAAAAAAAAAAACACCTATCCTACATCTTGGAAGGTCTGAGGTAGAGTACATTAACAATACAATACATTTTTGGGTGAAGTTTCACTTTTTAAAAGAATTGTTTGAAGAACCAGTAATGTTTAATTATAAAATGTCTGAATAAAACAGACATTAGCGTCACAAATTTGACCCTGGACCACAAAAAAAAAAAAAAAAAAAAAAAAACAAGTCTTAAGTTGGTCATATGTGTAGGAATACTCAAAAAATATATATATATTTTTTTTTTCTTTTATGCCAAAATTCTTACATTTTTTAGCAAATATCTTCTTCTAAGAAGACACTTTCTTCCGTAAATATATATATATATATATATATATATATATATATATATATATATATATATATATATATATATATATATATATATATCTAAAAACATTTTTTATTAGTAACAAGCTTAATTTTTTTTACTTTTCTCAATATTTAACATTTTTTGAACCCTCCAATTCAACATTTTTAAATCAATCAACCCATTATCCTATCCTAATAAAGTATCAGTGGAAACTTATCTATTTTCCAAAAAATGGTCCCTTATGGCTTGTTCTGGCATAGTGGTTCAGGGTCACAATTAAGACTTAAAATATACTGAATATTTCAAGTAATACAAATATTTATAATACCTTTATTTAAGTTGACAGAAATGGACATCATATACTGTATGTTGTCTGAGCTGCAAAGATTTTTCCTTTTGTTTCCACAAGAAAACCCAACAGAATGGGGGTTTGAATGACATTAAAATGAATCATGATATACATTACTGTTCAAAAGCATCTGTAAGATATTTTTGTAAATACGTTTTTGATCAAATTAATACTTTCATTCACCAAGGGTGATGTAAATTTCACCAAAAAATAAAAACTCTTACCATTACTCACATTTCACTGGTTTCAAACCAGTTTGTCATTATTCTGCTAATCACAAAATAAGATGTTTTGAAGAACGTTAGTAAGCAGTTGATGGTGCCCATTGACTTTAGTTGACATAGTATATTGTTTTTCCTACTATGGGAATCAATCGGTAAATGGTTACTAGCATTCTTTAAAATATCTTCTTTTATGTTTAAAAGAAAAAACACACTTGAAAAATTTTGCTTGTAAGAAAATGGAGGACAAGTTGGATTTTGGGTTGAACTAGCCTTTTACATTGATTAAATGTGACTTTTATGTAGTTATCATTTTGCTTGTTTTCCACAAAAATATTATTAATATTGATAATAATCATATAAAATGCTTCTTGAGCAGCAAATCAGCATATTAAAATGATTTCTAAAGGATCGTGTCACACTAAAGAGTAATGGGAAAAGAAATCACAGGCAAAACATTTTTTGTTTTTACAAAACATTTAATGAAAATTGAAGTATTTGATTATTAAAACAATTATTTGACATGATTAAATATTGAACAATACCATAACTGTATTTTTGATCAAACTACTAAAGCCTAAGACAGCTCTTTAGAAACTTTTTGAACAGTAGTGAAACCATTTTTGTTTGAAATATTCTTTTTAATTAAAGAGTTTCGGAGTGCAGCACACAAGGAGGATATATTAATGAATTATGAAGATTCCTCCCTGAAGTGCAGGACTTTATGAAAAACATGGCCTGAATACAAAGTACTGTTAAAGAAAAGAAACAGTTCAAAACATCCAACAGTAAATCAGTTTTCTCACTTTTAAACGTGAAATATTCACCACCCCTCCACCACAAAAATCCCACCATACACCACCATACGAAACAAACACCATGAGTTCCACCCACAGGACCACAACCGGGTGAGACATGCAAGACTCTAGAAACACTAAGCAAGACTACAGGCAAGATGACACGTTTATGCAAGAACAGCACTTTACGGCACACACACACACACGCACGCACGCATGCATGCATGCACACACACAAACAAACAAACACACAGCAGGATCCTCACCCTCCAACTCTGTGTCTGACACTGCATTAACATTCAGGCTGTACCATCAGACGATTATAGTTTTCATATTCATCTCAACTAAAATTCATGCTTAACTAAAAACTGTTTTTTATAGAAATGAAGCTGAAATAAGATTTGAATATCGATATTAGAAGTAAAATGTTATTTACAAATGTGCATCTTTAAGTTTAGATGACACTAAAATACTAACTCTGATGTAAAATTATAAAGAAGAATATAAAGAAAACCAATACAAATGATTAAACTACCAATAAATAAATAAATAAATAAATAAATAAAAATAAATCAAATCAAAATATGGAGTCAATTCAAATTGATTATAAAAATGGTCACACTTTTTAATAAGGTTCCATTAGTTAATGTCAGTATGTACAGTTAATTGTTTATGTTAGAATAAACAGTACATGAACTAAAGTAAACTTATTATAAAGTTTGACCAAAAAAAAAACAAAAAAAAAAACTATACAAATATTTTAAAAACTGGCATTTTTGAGCACAAAGGAAGTTGAAAGTGAACATGCCCTGGGGTGGGACAGGTTAATCTCCAGCTAAAACTGTTTCAAAAAGCTTTTTGGAAAATCTTTGACAACTGCATGCATTCCACTTTTATGACATCAAGAAGTATTTATACTACACTATACCAATACAATACCATCATCTTTATTTTTATTATGTAAAAAAATCATATTTAACAAAAGAAGATTGATGTTACTTTCACATCATTATTTTGATGTTTTTTATTGTCTTTCGTATAAGACGTTTGAGGTCTGAGGTTCTCACTCTCTGTGGTCATTAAAAATCCAAGGATGCCCTTCGAAAAAGAGCAGAAGTTTAATGCTGGCATCCTGAACAAATTTTTCCATTGCCCCCTGTCCATCATGGCCTCCTAACCATCCCCAAATTCTAATTGGTTTCATCACTCGATCTCCTTTCCACCATCAGCTGGTGTGTGGTGTGCAGGAGAGTCCCTTCAAAATATGTAAAGTGCCATAATAATAATAATAATAATAATAATAATAATAATAATAATAATAATAATAATAATAATAATAATAATAATAATAATTTATATTGGTTTTATCTGTCTAGCCCTCCTGTAATGCAGAAATAAATGGAATTTGACATTTTTTATTTTCAGTTAATATTGTAACTTTGTAATATTAAAAGGTTGGGCTAGTTTGGTAACAGCTAGTCTGTGCTTTCTGTGTTTTTACATTTTTTAAAAATATAAATAAAAAACTATGCATATATGAATGTAAAAATAGTTAAAATAGACCACACTAAAATAGTTCCACACTAACACATTTACTTAAAAAAACTGATTTTATTTAGACAATTAACAAACCCATTCTTGTGTTAATTCAAATTTTAATTAAAAGTATGTATTCTTGTTTTAATAAAAAAAAAACTATCCAAATCTTAAGAATATATTTTCAAACGACATTAAATTACTCTAGAGGATTTGACGTTCAATTAAAGCTACAGTTGAAGTCAGAATTACTAGCCCCTCTAGTTATTTTCTTTTTTTTTCTTTTTTAAATATTTCCTAAATGATGTTTAACAGAGCAATGAAATTTTCACAGTATGTCTATTATTTTTTTTTCTACTGGATAAAGTCTTATTTATTTTATTTCAGCTAGAATAAAAGCAGCTTTAATTAAAAAAAAAAAAACATTAAGGACAAAATTATTAGCCCCTTTAAGCTATATTGTTTTTCTATAGTCTACAAAACAAACTATCATTATACAATAACTTGTCTAATTACCCTAACCTGCCTAGTAAACCTAATTAGCCTAGTTAAGCCTTTAAATGTCACTTTAGGCTGTATAAAAGGGTCTTGAAAAATAACAAGTCAAATCTCATTTCCTGTCATCATGGCAAAGATCAAATGTGTTGAAAAAAATAATTCTAATAGAAATAATTCTAATTCTAATAATTCTAATAATCTAATAACCCTAAAATATTAATTCATGGTATCAACTACAGTACCATTAGCATATCATGGCATTTTATGGCGTCCATTCAAATACCAAAATACTATGATAAAAGCATAATATTTCAACATTATTTTCAACAAGTTAACCGTGTAGTCATGTGTTCTAGATATTTTGCTACCATAGAATCCCCCAAACTAGAATCTGCAGTTGCTCAGTCAGCAGTAGTCAGAGCGTGTATTGAAGTGTGTGCGAGTGGAGGGTGAGCTTCCTGCTGACGAATTACACACACACTGATCAGCGGTGAAGGGAAAGTACCTGCTCCACTTCAGACTCTGTGAGCAAGCGTGTAGTGAGGTCACACTGGCCCTCACACTCCAACTTAAACCTGTTACTCTGATAAAGCTGCAGGACGAACACATGTTCACACAAACACATTGTCACAAAACAGCAGTCTGTGAGGTCAAACGAGCAAGCAGAAACTCAACTCACTGACAGATAAAGCAAGAAAATATATGATGAAACCGAAAAGCTCTTCACAATTGTCATTATTACTCAATATGATGCTTGGTTACACATTCAGAAACCACCGTTTACCCAAAAGCCACTGTGATCACATACGTATGATGCAGCAGATGTATATTTCATCACAGGATGGAAACACTATGAACAATTATTATTCATCGATTTGACGCAGTGACATATAGGGCCCTATCATACACCCGGCGCAATGTGGCACAAGGCGCGGCGCAATAGTCTTTTGCTACTTTCAGCTCGGCGCAAGGATCATTTTGAGGTGTTGCGCCACACTGTTTAAATAGCAAATGCATTTGCGCTTAAATGTGCGCCCATAGGCGTTCTGGTCTAAAAAAGCAGGCGTGTTTTGGCACGTTGCTATTTTGAGAAACTGTAAATAGTCTGTTCTTTAGGCCAGAACAAAGTCGGTCTATTGTCTGGCGCAAAGTGCGCCTGGCTTACACACTACACACAAGATATGCAAATATCTTTACATATGAAAAAGATATAATATATTAAGTATATATATATATATATATATATATATATATATATATATATATATATATATATATATATATATATAATAAGGATATATATATAGGATATAAATATAAATTATTAAAATATCACAAAATATATTAATTTCTAGCCTACATGAATTTAAAAACCACTGCCTTACTTTCTTCATCTCGGGAGGCTTTTTCAGTTCATTCAATTTGCTTTTGTATAATGATATTATTGTTAGTAGTATTATTTATTAGATCCATATTTATATTTGTTTTATTAAAAACAAGTTTAGATGTGTCCACCTGTCAGGTTTTACACGATATGGGGCATGGCAGGTGTATTTGGAAATAACTCAGTATTTTGACCACATTTGGTTATTCTTGTTCATTTATTTGTTTGCTGGAAAATAGAACTGAATTTAGTTTTAGTTTTGAAACATATCTTTGTGCTTAACAAACGAAATTAATTATTTATAGGCTAATTAATGTCTGTGCGGTAAGGTTTCCCTATCCACGAGAGCAAAAGCGAAAGTGAACTTACTTTACGTCAAACTGCGTTATGGCGCGACGCAGCTGGCTCTTAAAGGTAATGGGAGATGAGACTCTGATTGGTTTATTCTCAAAACACACCTATTTTTTATACCTCATTAAGAAAATAAACTCAACCCTTTTAGACCATGCGCCATGGCGCAAATAGGATTTTCCCATCCTTAAGTTAGCAAAAATGCGTTCTGACACGCCCTGAAAGCGTTTCCGCCCTGCGTTTTGACATGGACTGTCAAAATAGAGCCCATAGAATGTCTTCTTGTTTGTTTCAATCTATCAGTTAAATACTGAGCCAGCTGAATATTGAATAAGTTCCCCAATGTCTATAATTAAGGAGTTTCGAAAGTATGTTCCAAGTTTGATTTAAAAAATGTGTACAGGTATTTATGCAACTGAAAAATATGTCATACATTTTTAAGAACATTTTAAATGTGTTCACACTTGTAATTCTGTTCTCTTGGTATACTTGTACACAATTAATATTATACATTCAGTTCTACACTGTGCAACATCCGTAAATTAGCAGTTATCCATATTTGGTGATTTATGTTGTCATTTCTCATTTTTTCACATTTGTTTATGCTTTTGAATTCCATTAAGGGACTTTAATGTTTCTTCCAACTACTTTTAACCTTGAAAAGTGACTTTAATGAAGATTTAAATGTAAAAAGATTTAAAAAGTAAACTGCCAGTACATTTTCTGTCTCTCTGTTTTTCTCTACACTGAAAAAAAATGAGTTCTGCAAAACTGTTGCAAACAGTTTATATTTGTTGATTTTAAACATACAAGTTAAATTTGTAATGTTTAACTTAATTTGTTTGGTTAAATTTAGATCAAATAAATTGTTTACAACTACTTAACTTAAAAACATTTAGTAAATCTAACGAGTCATGTGCGACACCTCCACATAAAAGACTGTTACAGCGGTTTCACAATGCATGAGCGGCCAACAACCAGACCATGAGCAGAGCAGCGCATCAACGTCAAGCAGGAGCGGTGCATGAGGTGCGTGGGTACGCTTTTTTATTTTTTTTTCTGCGCACATGCTCAGTTTGCGTTTTGATTAAACTACATTGCTACCATCAGCGTTGGTTCGGTCACTCTTAATAAATACACTTGGATTTAAAGTAAATCGATCTCAAAGTATTTACTGGAGCACTGGTGAATTTTACTGGGTCACGTGCCCCTAGCGACGTCCCTTGCTCTTACTGCAATTTTTCTAGAAACAATATCTTTTACTTGCCTAAGCCACATACCAACTTTTTAGTTATCAGAAAACACTTTAACTTGAATGCAGAATACATTTAAAAGTAATCTCTGGATGAAAGCATTACATATCTGAGGTTCAGATTAGTGAGCTCACATATGCAGTAGTCTGCTTTGTGTCTTTCAGAACAAACATCAACAGATCACCACATTTCCATTATGAACTGTGAGACTTATTTAAATTCTCAAGACTAATAAACCTGCATGTTTCTCATTGGTTTTAGAACAGCATCATTCTTACCTTGCTGTTCTGGATGAGGCGTAGGATGTGCTCAAAGCAGTTGTTATTAAGAAAGATGGCCTGCAACACCGGCCGGTCTGAACATTGGAGGATCTCAGGGATGGCATCTGCAAGGCAAAAACACAAGAACATTCAGTCGTTTTGACCTGTGCCTTCTGGAGAGATAAAATTGTAAGCACTGGGTCATCTGATTTGCTCATGGAGATGAAATGACACACATTTAGCAACTTCTCCATTTAAATAGTTTTCAGAGAGTTGGCTACAATTACAAATCAAAACTACTGTAAAAGGGTTGGAAGTTCAACACCAAACACAGTATTCATGCCTAAATGAATTACTTCAATTATAAATTATAAATAAGTATTGTAATGCAAACTTGTCTTGACTTTAATATGTTCATGCTGATCAACAGTATAAGACTTTGCATAATTTGCCTCCACATTATCAGCCTATACTCCTAGCCGTTATCTCCGATTCTAAGATTATGGTAATTTAATAGTACTCCCTAGTTGCTTAAGTTTTATGGGTGATCAAGCCTTTTCTTATTCTGCACCAAAACTCAGGAATTCTCTCCCAATGAAGAATCTTCAAATCTGTTCTTAAACCTTTTTTTTTTTTTGCACTTAATGAATTTTAGGTGGGCGTCACGGTGGCAAAGTGGATAGCATGATTGCCTCACAGCAAAACATTCTCTGGTTCAAGCCCCAGCTGGGTGAGTTGGCATTTCTGTGTGGAGTTTGCATGTTTTCCCCGCATCAGCTTGGGTTTTCTCCGGGTGCTCCCGTTTCCCCCGCAGTCCAACAACATGCGATATGGGTGAATTGGGTAAGCTAAATTGTTCGAAAGTTGGCGGTGCATTAAGCTGTGGTGACCACAGATTGACAAAGAGACTTAGCCAAAAAGAACATGAATAATAATAATAATAATAATAATAATAATAATAATAATAATAATGTTTTCTTAATAGTATTTATTTCATTAAAAAATATTGTTGGTGTTGACATACACAATGTAAAGTAATAACAATACTAATACTACTACTAATAATAGTAATAATAATAACAACAACAACAACAACAAAAACAACAACAATAATAATAAACATGTTGATTATTATATTAACAACAACCCAAATTATTCTTATTAAAATAATAATAATAATAATAATAATAATAATAATAATAATAATAATAATAATAATAATAATTATTATTATTATTATTATTATTATTATTATTATTATTATTATTGTGATTACTATTATTTAACTTTGTTTATTTAAAATTTTAAAATTTTATTTTATTATTTAAATTTGTTAGAGTTGACATACAATGTCAAGTATTTTTTCTTGTTGCAAAATTCTAGTTATTCTAGTTACAATTAGATAATGTAACATCACACTGACTACATTAAATGCTCTGGAAGACAGTGACAGATACATCTTAAAAAATGGTTTTATATTTTAAAAGTTTACCCAAAATTAAAACAAGCTTACCATTTATTTAAAAAAAACATTTGAAATTTCAAATTGCGCTCACATCCAAAGAGGAACAAATAATTGAAGGGAGACAATAGCTACCAGTTTTTAACATAACTTCCTTTGTGTTCAACAGAAGAAAGAAACCCTACAGGTTTGGATTTTCTTTAATTCTACTAAAGTCCTAACATTGAGAGATATAGATATTTGGTTTTACAATGATTCTTTCACTACAAGACCAAAAAAAACTTGTTCACAGGAAACAACCTCTAAGATCAAACCACAAACATGTTTTTCTTTCCCTCGTCTCCATATAAAGGTTAACATCAAACGTTAAATCGGTATTGATGTGCTTTTGAAATAAAAAACCAAGACATGGATCTAGATCTACTCTGATAAAGATCTAGACACATCATGTAAGCTATGGCAGAAAAAGCAAACATCTCTTCAGAACTTAATAACCTCAAATACAAAAGACTGTCTATATAGCATGCAGCTTATTAACAAAGCAAACAAGGCAGAGCAAACACAACATTATATTTTGTATGATTGGCTTAATGAAAGGACGGTATTCAAATATCAGCAGTCTTTCAAGGTTGTAAATTCTATGATAAATCAATGGCTGAACAATAAACATCAAACTACACTGGCTTCAGACACACTTTTCTTTTAAGCAGCTGAATTAATGATGCAAATTAAAGAGATAATTTCAGATGTGGCTAATTAACTAGAAGCAAGAAATTTGGAGGTGTTATGATGCACTGTAAAAGAAGTTAATTAATTAATGGTTTCCTGTATCTTGTATCTTATCTGTCTCGAACTCAATTTCAGGAAGGCCACAGCTCTGAAGATTTTAGCTGCAACCACGTTCAGATCACACTTGTTTAATAGTCTCTAGTCTTGAACACCTTGATTTTTTAGATCAGCTGTGTTTGATTAGGGTTGGTGCAGAAACTGTGCAGAGCTGCGGCCCTCCAGGAATCCAGTTTGAGATCCATGGGTTAATGTATTTAAATTGCATTATTAGGCCTTGATCTCGAATTTGACATATTTTAATGTTTGTAATTTAACAAAGTGAGTCTTAAATGCATTTTTAGCAGTTGCTGTTTGACAAATACTCTTAAATGCTGTACCTTTCATAAATCCCATAATGCTATAAAAAAAAATGGAACTCAGGAAATAATACTCATTAATATAATATGCATTACGTAATAACAATAATAAAAATAATATATAATTATTATTGTTATTACGTAATGCATATTATATCAATGAGTATGAGTACATATATATATATATATATATATATATATATATATATATATATATATATATATATATATATATATATATATATATAATAGATTATTATACATAGTATACAGTATATTTATTATATACTGTACAGTATATTTATATACAGTATATAGTGCGGGGCAGGAATTAAATCGCGCTAAATCAAGTCCAAAACAAAAGTTTGTTTTGACATTAAGCATGTGTACACTTTATATTTATTATGCATATATAAATACACACAGGTATGCATATATTTTATTTTATTTATATTATTTATATTCTGATATATACAGTTAACATAGAGTTAGTAGCCCCCCCTTTTTTCTTTTTTAAATATTTCCTAAATGGTGTTTATGAGAGCAAAGAAATTTTCACAGTATGTCTGATATTATTTTGTCTTCTGGAGAAAGTCTTATTTGTTTTATTTCGGCTATAATAAAAGCAGTTGTAAATTTTTTAAATAACATTTTAAGGACAAAATTATTAGCCCCTTTAAGTTATATATTTTTTTGACTGTCTACAGAACAAACCATTGTTATATAATAACTTGCCCAATTACCCAGACCTGCCTAGTTAACCTAATTACCCCAGTTAAGCCTTTAAATGCCACTTTAAGCTGTTTAAAAGTGTCTTGAAAAAGGTGAATTGTCAGTAGTGTATGAGTGTGAATTAGTGTGAATGGAAGTTTACCAGGGATGGGTTGCAGCTGGAAGGGAAATGAATGAATGAATATATAAATAAATGATAAAGATAAAATAAATCAGTTTTTAGAGATGAGTTATTAAAAATATTATGTTTAGAAATGTGTTGAAAAAAATCCTCTCTCTGCTAAACAGAAATTGGGGAAAAGAAAAAAACAGGGGGGCTATTAATTTAGGGGGTTTAATAATATATATATATATATATATATATATATATATATATATATATATATATATATATATATATATATATATATATATATATATATATATATATATATATATGAATGATACAAATTATTTATAAATTTATAAATAATAATAAATAGATATTAAAAGTAAATATAAATAAATATTAAAAATATATCTAACACACAAAAATATTATGACAATGTATGTATGTGATGAACTGGGATTAATCTTTGGCCAGCCCCTATTCATTTATTTATTTATTGTTTTAGTGTGTACTGACAAACAAGCTTTCTTTTCAAACAGAAATATTCAATGCGAGTTGGAGAGGAACTGTGGTGAAATGGGAACCACCCAGAAAAAAAAACAATAGGTGCTTCAAATGAGTCAAAGTAGAAAACCAAAGACTAGTCAGAACTAGCTAACTGCTGCCTAAAATATTTAATGTTTAAGAAAAAATTAATAAACAAACACACACGCATGCACACAAACATCTCCAGAACTTGCTTAAATAACCTAACTTGCCTAGTTAACACAATTAAAGGGGTGGTCTAAAGTGTATTTTTAAGGCTTGGTTGAGTTTATAAGATGCAAAGCAATGTGTGCTCAAGCTTCATTTGTAAAAAAAATCATGTTATTTTTTCCTATATCTTACTTTATGTATATACAGCTTCTCAGCTAATATGAACACGACTGTCATATTTTCCAGTTTTTCCGAAAGGCCCATCCTCGAAAGGCTTTGATTAGTCAGCTAACATAATGCGCTGTGATTCAGATAGGCTCCACGTCACCAGAAAGCGACATGCCTCTACTAGCACGTGCTATGCCTGTACTGTCCAAAAACTGTCAGTCAGAGTAGCTGTTAGCCATATCAGTTTAAGCCTGAATCAGGCAGAAAATGAAGAAAAAACAGCTGAACCTCATGCCTGCTCTGACCAGTGTCTTTATAAAAAATTGTATATATTCCCGTTATAAGCATGTCATGTTCCTTGGAAGCCTAAATACAGAAACAGAAGAAGCTTTGTGGAAATAACAACGCTTTGAAAGCATTTTAGCTTTCGCTGCTATAACATTACATCGCCTCTGACCAAGCCCCTTTGACGCATGGGGTGAATGTGGGTAACCTGAAAGGTTTGTGATTGCATTACCCGGATGTATTTTTTCGCTGTAGGCTTTGCTAAGCTAACTCTGTAAAAGCCAATGTCTCCCTCTGCATTGAACTTTGAGCGTCTTTCAATACATTCAGAGATGTTGTTTATGTTCACACAGCTACATTACAAATATATATATATATATATATATATATATATATATATATATATATATATATATATATATATATATATATAATCTTTTTTTTATTTTTATTTTTTATAAATTCACTTATATTTTATTTTGTAATAAAATATTAGCTTACTAAGCATATGTTCAAGAAGGGTAATGAGATTATCCTCCCAGGCGTGCATATCTCCCTGCTGGCTGTCCGGTGGACGGTTCCAGTTGAGCAGTTGGAAATAATCGTCCAGCGCGCTCCGGATCTCCACCTGTCTCTCGTTCACACTGCTGGAGTGCAGAAGATGAATCATTACAGTCAGACAGCGAAGGGCCATCCTGAGCAGCTGAGGGTCCCTGGGCTGCTGTGGGGATGAGGCAGGACAAAGGCACCAGGAGCGCAACACAGACATGAGATCCTTCACAGCCTGCGGGGTGATGGAGAGAAGGCCATTTCTCTGAAACACACGAACGGCAGCATGCAATACTGTTTTAGTAATGTTATACTGTACATTTAGAAAGCACTCATAGCCCCTGATGCGTTCACACATGTCAGTGTAAACAGGGCCTAAGGGTCTAATTTACCTTGCATCCACTGATTACAGCTCCCTGTAGATGCACCAGCCTCACCACCAGTGGTTCAGGGATTAGTTCACTGTCTTGGAGGTATTCTGTAGGCATAGCTAATCTTTTAGTCACAAGAATCGTAAAACTGACATTAAAGTTTTAAGGCACAGATATATGTAATGCATTTTGTCAAGAAGCAAATTTCATTCAAATTCTGTCTTAAGTTGCACAGATATGCTTTTGTTAACAGAAATTATTTGCAAAACAGAACAAAACAAAACAAAACTGAAAACAAAATGAAATGAAAAGACACAGAAAACAAAACTAAGAATAAACAAAATAAAAATTAAACATGACACGAAATTGAAAAGGCAACGAAATGAAACTAAATAAAAAGAAACAGAAAACAAAACATAATTGAATGAAACAAAACAAAATTACACAAAACAAAACACGAAATTGAAAACCAAAACAAAACAAAACAAAACAAAACAAAAATACACAGAAAACAAAAAAATAAAAAATAAACAAAACAAAAAACATGACACGAAATTGAAAAGTAACGAATAGAAACTAAATAAAAATAATAGGAAAACAAAACAAAATTAAATGAAACTAAATAAAAATGAAGTTGAAAACAAAACAACAAAAAACGGGTTATGTTTTTTTGCATTGATATTCTCATCAGAAGTGCATGCAAAGTGGACTTGCTTTTGTACTGCAGAAAAACTATTTGTTCTTGACATGTTGACAACACAAACAAAACTTCCTGCCAACAAGTAAAGTATTTAAAGGTCAAAGAAGACGCCAATGACGACTGGCATTATGCTAATTTGTTTCAACCCTGGTTTTGTGCAGAAATCAATGAAGCTACTGAAATCCAATTTTAGGCAGTTCAGAAATGGCTCTTTATTTGGGGAGATAAAAACAACATTAATCGTGTAATTCTATTTTTGAATCACCTATATTAAACACTGCACATGTCTTTAAAGTCAGTGTGGAACAATGATATTTGTCAGAATGTTCCTTTAGGCGGAAATTTTTTGTGAACTGCTTTTTATATAAAACTTTGCTTTTAAAGGGTCATAAAATGAGAATCAATATCCACAGAAAAACTAATGGCTGCTTAAAATTAATGCAGATCAGACAAATTCTTTTGTTCTCCTTCTTACTGCAACTACTATCAACAAATAAAAAACACAAAACAAAACTTAACAAACTTACCACTAAAGAAAAAACACTATAAAGAAATAAAACACTAAAATAAAATAAAATCTGACTAAAACAAAACAAAACTAAGCAAAGCAAAGCAAAACAAAGCAAATCAAACAAAAAATAAACAACAAAAAGCAAAACAAAACAAAACAAACTACTATTAAATATAAAAATAAACACCAAAATAAAACCAAAAAGAGAAAATATCAAAAAGCAAAACAAAACAAAAAGAAAATTAAAACAAAAAAAGAAAACAAAACTACTTTTACAAAACTATAAAAAAAAATAAAACTAACAAACAAAACACAAAAACTTAACAAAACCCAAAATAAAACAGATAAAAAAACACCTAAATGAGATTTTGTCTTTTATCTGAAAATCATCAGACACTCACTTAGGGCGTACTCAAATTATGTACAGTTGCCTTGAATTGGGCCAAAGCACGCTTGTCCCCACTCCCGTCTCCCCGGACGGCCCGCACTAACATTACATTCAGGCCTGGGCACGCTTACATCATCAATGATGCGCTGGTCAGAAGCGCTCTCGCTCAGCACAGTGGAGATTTCTTTAGTTATGTCGTTTGACATTCAGTGACATGCAGTCAAATATTTTGCCGAACAGATCAGCCGCTCATAAACAATCATAAAGTACTCGTGCTGCAGGAATTAGGAGGTTTGCTGAAGGTGCGCAGCTTTTCTGCATTCCATATACCTGATATGTTTTCATAGGGCCACCATTTATTTGGATTTTAAAAATCCCATGACACAATCACATTCTAAACAAAACATGTTGGTGAAAAACACCTTTGCAGCACAATAAACTAGTTTGCTTCACCACATGACCACATGCAGCTTAACTGTGAACCACATACACTGGAGGTGTGCAGGATGCTCCACAGAGCTTATAACCACTTGGGCTTGCAACACTCTCAGGATTATGTTCTTTGTTTTGCCCATTAACTGTAGGCTGCAATCTACAGTGCAGGTAATTTCTTTGCTACTACTACACAATTGTATTGCTAGAAATAAAGGCATAACTGGCCATTACTACACTGTAAAAAATGCAGGATTCAACACAATCAATTTGTGTTGGGACAACATGAAATAATTAAGTTGTTACAATTTTATTTTATTTTTTTACAAATTTATGTGGATTGAACAAAAAGCAATTAAGTTGTCTCAAAAAAAACTCAAGAATTATATTGTTTCAACTTATTTAATAATATTAGTAGTCTGAACAAACAACAAACTTCATGTTTTGATGTCAACGCAGACAAATGAGCATATAATATAAATGCTATAGGGATAAGCTGAACCCCATTTGTAAAAGCCTGTTAATCATTGTTTAATGTTATTTATGTTTATTCATTTATTTGTATTATGGCTTAAAAATGCATTTGTTTTCTCCTATAACAAGTTGACGAAAGCTGTGTTTTTAGTCAGGCAGTGGGGAGAGGAGATGTGGCCTATGGGACACAGTTTTGAGACTCATGCATTTACCTTTTGTTCGTAGGGAATAGCAGTCGACACATATTGGGAGCTGTGTTGAGTTTGCTTTCTTTTACAATTCTGATTGTAAATCTAATGAATGGCATGCGTCGACTGTAATTCGCCGTGGATGAAAGGTAAATACACTATTCTTTACAAAAAAAAGACATTTTGTCTCCTGAGAGGTAGGATGTGTGATCTCTCCTAGAATGCAACAATTAAGTCAAAATGCAGGACAACATACCATGGAAGAGCATAGGAAGCTCCTCTGGCAGAACAAGAGGGGAAAATTTGTACTTGCTTCTCTCCAGCATACTGACCTCCTCCCTGAAAAGCACACATATATGAAAGCTCTTTATGGAAATATTTCATGCATTCTTATTTCAGAAGCAATATGCTGGGCTCTGCAATAATTGTCAATCTGAATCATATAAGATATTAAAAGGATAGTTCCCCCTAAAAAATGAAAATTGATTTCTATATATATATATATATATATATATATATATATATATATATATATATATATATATATATATATATGTATATATGTATATATATATATATATATATATATATATATATATATACATACATACATACATACATACATACATACATACATACATACATACATACATACATACATACATACATACACACACACACACACACACACACACACACACACACACACACACACACACACACACACACACACACACACACACACACACACACACACACATATATATATATATATATATATATATATATATATATATATATATATATATCCTATGGAAGTCAACGGTTACCGGGTTTCCAACAATTATCAACAAAGGGTAAATAAATTATGACATGTTTTAGCTGCAGTGTGCCATTATTTTCAGAAAACTCATCTCGATTGAATGATTTTTTCTCATTATGAAAAACAACTTACTATTTATTAAACACAAATATTATTTAATTGTGGTTGTAATTTATGGTAATTTGAAATGGATGAATGGATGGATGGATGGATGTATAAATGGATGGATGGATGGATAAAATCACACTAACATATAATTGGATGGATTGATGAATGGATGAATGGATAAAATAATATTAACAAACAGACAGACATATAAATGGGTGAATGGATAAAATTATACTGACATAGACATACAGTATAGATGGAGATGGGTGAATGGAAGGATAAAACTATATTGACAGACAGACGATGGATGGATAGATGAGACTATATTGTATAAAACCATTCCAACAGACTGACGTGTAGACAAACATATGGATGGATGGATGGATGGATGAACAGATAAAATTGTGTTGATAGACAAACATATGGAATGGATGGAAGGGATGGATTGATAGATGGATGGATGGATAACATGATACTGACAGGCAGACATACAGATATATTGTAAGGTATAGATAGAAGGTATGGATAGATAAAATTAAACTGACAAAGACATGTAGATAGATTAATGGATAGACTTACTGTATAAAATCATTCCAACAGACTGACATGTAGACAGACATATAGATGGATAGAAGGTATGAATTGATAAAATGATATTGACAGACAAACATATGGAATGTATGGAAGGGACAGACAGACAGACAGACAGACATATTATAGATAGATAGATAGATAGATAGATAGATAGATAGATAGATAGATAGATAGATAGATAGATAGATAGATAGATAGATAGATAGATAGATAGATAGATAGATAGATAGATAGATAGATAGATAGATAGATAGATAGATAGATAGATAGATAGATAGATAGATTCCAAGAAAGCTGTACTTTTTCATAAGCTACATTAGTTCATGAGGTGCATTAATGGATGATAAGAACAGTGCTGTCTGAAAAGCTGCATCAGTGCTGTGAGGAGTTCATGATGTGTGTCATTCAGACAGTTGAGCAGAAGAAGACTCAAGAGCTGAAAGGTAAGGACTGGGTGTGTTATTAACTGTTAAAGTGGAGCTAAAATGACTCCTACGCATTCCTGTTGAGGTTTAACACCCTGCCCAACTCACAGACATACAATAACACACATGAACCCACTCACCCCGCCTGCCGTCTCCTCCACGTCTGATAAGGGTCAAAGAGATTTTCACACAGCAGCAGGCCATGTTGTACCACCGCCTGTAAAGTGCTCTGATCATCTGGCTGCTTCTTCAGCTGTCACACACACACACACACGCACATAAACAGGGAGTCTGGTGATTACACGTCTTACTCAAACATTCCTTTGAAAAAGCAGAGGTCTTCCACCCAAAGCTTTCCGATTAAACCTGTTCTGTTAGTTCAAAATCCTGCAATAACATCGCAAGCGCATTGTAATAATAACAATAGCTGCATTGCAATACACAGCTTGTGAACAAAAGCTTGATTGGTATGCTTAAAATATTTAAATTTGCAAGACACTTGAACTAGTTTAAAAATGCAGGTAACACCACAGTAGTTATGTTTCCATCCACATATTTTTATGCGCATATTGGATATGCACAAAAAACGGTTGCAAAAGAAAACACTATGATGCGCATCCGATTTGAAAATACACGCATAACTGAGTAGGATAAACTTTTTATTTGATAAGAAAAGATGCGCTTAAATTATGATGGTAACACTTTTACCAAACAAACTCCAGTATGCACATTAAAAAAGTCATGTGATGACAAAAAAAGTGTGTGAATTATAGACTGTAAAAGATTTGGACGTAGTATCTGTGACCTTACCCATAGGTTTCTGAATAACGCAAAAGAAGCTGCTTGTAGGCGTGGCCAACCATCGCCATTTTGTTCGTGCGTCATCGCACTGACCACAGGATATCAAACAAGGGCAAAGAGGCAGAGCGTGGGCGGAGCTACAGACACCTGCTAGCATTTAGCTTAGACAGGTTTTTCTTAAGGAAAAACGCTTACTACTTCATTATCTGCGACTCCTTTGTGTTCTGACCACAAGGTTGTACACTATATCAATAAAATGTTTAGTCTTTCAAAAACACAGTTGTAACACATTGAGCTACTGAACATTGTCATGACGTTTTTCTACAGGAAGAAAATGCAAATTACCTCCAAATACTTCAAATATAGTTTGTGTTAGTAAATGCAAAGCTATTGATGAAATCCAGGCATAACATTGTATGACAACGTTTCAGATGACTGTTCTAGAGCCTACGGCTAATCAATCTGTCATATTCTGGAGTGCATTACAGGTCTTAAGACAATTATAAGTGATAAAGGATCTTTAATAAAATAAATACATTTATAGAGATGGTGTATAAATATATAATTGCACACACCTGGAAAATGGAGGCTATGTGAATGGTCTGTGAGCACAATTAAGTGCACACAGCATGCTATAGTATCTGATAATTGCAGGAAATAATTTCAAAAGGCAACTGACTGTGTAAAGCCACATAAAACAAAAGAAAAATACAATGTATATGCAGAATTTAGCAGCTAATCAGCAAGAATCAGCGAGACCTAGCTGTCGCTCAAGTGGCCACGCCCTTAATTATGCAGACTTAATATTCATTTATTAATTTTAATTTTGGTTTGGTCCCTTTATTGATCCGGGGTCGCCACAGCGGAATGAACCGCCAACTTATCCAGCACATGTTTTACGCTGCGGATGCCCTTTCAGCTGCAACCCATCTCTGGGAAACAGGCTTAATATAACTTAATAAAAACAAAGCAGATGATTTATAAAACCATTCACCCCCTCACAGTTGTCATGAAGGGTAAAATTAGCTATATGCACCAAAGCCATCTTTTGTACCAGGCTGTAAACATGCTTTTATCAGCTGTAAAATTGGCCAATTTACCATTGCAGTCAGAAATCATCTGGATTTCGTAAAGCCAGCCCCCCAAGGCGAGTCGATAAATTGCAGTTTTAGTTACTTCCGTATTTGCTTCACGAGGGAAAGCAGGAGGTTGCCGCTTGGTGTGGATGGACAAACCAGCGGGCTGAGCACATTGTAAAACATCTGAATCATTGTTTTGGTCATTCGAAAACGCTGTAACCTTTTCAGTATAATTGTTATTGTATTATCAATGAACTCCAGAATCAAGAGCTCCTGTGCTCCACGTCTTACGCATTCAAACGCCACCTTGCGTTAATTGCGTGTTGGCATTTGTCTTCTGAGGCGCAAGTCATTTATTAAATGAAGAAAAGATTGACGCAGCTTCTCCTACCACAGTAAATTCCATTTTTAATATTTGGCACCAATTAATCTGGAAGTGACCATTCTGTTCTCTTTGACTAATTACATGGAATCGCTGCTTTATTTGCACATCTTTTATGCGACATTCCTGTTTTTGCGCGTAAATTTAATTTGCATTTTTGGATGGAAACAGCTAATGACACTCAAAATGATCATAAAAAGGAGATTCTTGAATCTACATTTCCCACATGGTTCAGATGCCTTACCTGAGCCAAACAGAAGTTCAGGAGCTTGATCGTCTCAAAAACAAACCCAGGCGTCTTTTCGGAGTCTATATTCTCCATATTTCTGTAAGCAATGATTTTAAACCAGAAGTGATATTATTGCATGCTTATAAATTGTAAAAATCGTATTAAACATCTGCCTTGTGGTATTCCTGCTGTACAACCGGGGTTTAATTCACCAGGGCACGCCACAAAGAGAATGATGATGATGATGATGATGGTTAAATCTGTGCTCGGCGAGAACTTACCTGCAGATGATGATGAAGAACTTGATAAGGAGCAGAGGATGTGGTGCAGTGATGCTCTGGTCCTGCCCTGACATGTGGAGGGCGCTGTGCCAGAGCTGTGTACTGAGGAATACCAGAACCTCCTTGGGGAGAAGGGGGACATCGGCACTCCATTCCTCCAGCCTGCATACAAGGAGAAGGTTGCTTTATTTTGTTTACTTGTTTCTTTTGCTTTTTGTTTACTTTCTAGTTTATTTGCTTTTGCTTGGTACTCTTTCAGCATTCTTTCAGCCGCAAGACAAAAAGGTTGCTTTTTATTGCTTTTGCTTTGTATCATTGTATCATGTTTTGTATTTTTGTTTGCAAACCTTTTTTTTTTTACTTTTTGTCTTTTTCTTGTTTTTTTTCTCTTTGTTCTCTTCTTTTTTTGTTGGCTTTCCTTTTAGTTTTGTTAGCATTAATGTTTTGACCATTTGTTTGTCTCATTTACTTAGCATTTCATTCTTCAAGCATGTTGAAAAAAATATTTTAATAAAATAAATAAAATAAAATAAATGTTTTGGCTCTTGTTTTTGATTGCTTTGCTTTTTGTTTATTTGGATTTTTGTTTGTTTGTCCTGCCTTTGTTAGCTTTTGATGTGTTTTGCTTTATTGGGATTTTTTTCTTTAAATTTTAACTTGCTTTTAGATTGTTTTTAACTTTTTTTTGCCTTTGTTTGGCACCTCATTCTTCCAGTCTGCACATGTAAAGAAAGTTGCTTTATTTTGCTGTTTTCTTGCTATTGCTTTGTGTTTTATTTGTCTTGTGTATGTGTGTGTGTGTGTGTGTGTGTGTGTGTGTGTGTGTGTGTGTGTGTGTGTGTGTGTGTGTGTGTGTGTGCACTTTGGATTAATTGCCTTTTTAGCATTTGTGTTTTGCTTTTTGTTTGAAAACTCAGTTATTTCAGCCTGCAGACAAACAGTTTTTGCTGCTTTCATTTTAAAAATGAAAATAAAAAATATGTTTTAATAAAAATTAATGTTTTTGTTATTTGGTTTTTGTTTGTTTGTTTTGCATTGTGATGCATTTTGCTTTCTTTGGCTTTAGTTTATAATTTGCTTTAAGATTATTTTAGATTTTTTTTGGCAGAGCATTCTTGTGATTTAAAGACAAAAAAGAAAGTTTTTTAAGCTTTATTTTGCTTTTTTCTTGCTTTTGCTTTGTGTTTCTCGTTTGCTTTTTGTTTACTTTTATGTTTGTTTTAGATTTTTGTATGCAAGTCTAATGATTATTTTACCTTTTTTAGCATTTGTGTTTTGCATTTGTTTGACACACTTAATTTTCCTAGCCTGCAGACATCATTTTTGATTATGTTTGCTTTTGTATTGTTAGCTTAATTGTTAGGTTTGACCTTTTTATTTGTTTGTTTGTTTGTTTCTTTCTTTACTTGGCATTCCATTTCTGCTTTGCTTTTATTTATTTTTGGTTGTATGTTTGTTTGCTTTTGTTGGGTGCTTCATTCCTTCAGCCTCCATTTAAGCTTTTGTTTGTTTGCCAATTTTTTATCTACTTGACATTCTATATTTTAAGCCTGTAGACAAAATTAGTTTTTTTTTTTTTTTTTTTTTTGTGTCTTCTGTTTGTTATGGCTTTTCTTCTTGTATGCTTTGCTTTAAATAATAATAATAATAATAATAATAATAATAATAATAAATCTAGCTTTTTTTGCCAGTCTTGACTTTGTTAGCTTTTAGTCTAGTAGCTTTTAGTTTAGTTTGCCTTTGTCTAGTGTGTCATTTTCCAGCCAGGAATTATTTTTGACATTTTGACTTTATTCATTATTTCTTTTTGATTTTGGTTCATGATTATTTTGATTTTTATTGTTGTGTTTTGTATGTTCCTATTGTATTGCTCTTTGTTTTATTTTTGGTGAATTGTTTAGTTTATGTTGTTGAGTTAATGAGCAAGCCATGGACTTTTTTTAAGCACATGTTAAAATTTTGTATCTGCTCTGATCTTTAAAAGTTTGTGTATGTCTTTAGGCATAGCATCATCCATGAACAACTTTTTGCAGACAGCCTCAAGTTATAGATTTTTATCAAAATTTGAAATTGGCAAACCTTGTTGAATGCAGCACTTGGCTGGAATCGATTCTTTATTTCAGAACATCACAGCTCAATATAACCTGAAGCATGTGTGCTAATCTTTCGATGGCATGTCTGACTTTCATTGCATGAACTTCAAAAATATCAATGCTTGCTTACTCTATCAAACATTGCAGGATGTGTTTTTAAAAGGTGTTTTTTTTTCTAACTGAACCACTGGTGACTGAGCAATTAAACAAAAATAGTCCACTAAATACCATCATAGACTGAGTTGCATCTGGACCTGACCACCTACATATCAACTCCCTCCGCATATGACATTTTGATAGGTCAGCATGAAACTGACTCACCGGCGAGGCTCAATCGAGTGCACATCAATGACCTTCTCAAAAGACGCCACGAATGCCTCCAACCACTGCTGCAGGTAAACGACATCTTTCTGAAAGACAGAGAGAGAGAGAGAGAGAGAGAGAGAGAGAGTGAGAGAGAGATAAAAGGAAAGAGTAAGATGCTGTAAACTGTCTTTTGACAAAACATCCTGAGGTCTAGGTCATGAACTAACACACATGACAAAGCCAAAAAAATGCTGTTAATCTACCCTTAGGTCATCCAAGACATACGGGACTATTTTCTTCAAAACATTAAAGAAGATTTTAAGCTAAGACTATGATCAAAGGCTACTAGCACAGAAAAATAAACAAACATAAAAGTCAAATACAGGCAAAACAAAATGAATACTTGTAGCTCTTGATGACACAATGATGTCTTGTGAAGTCTGAACATTGCTAAAAAAAACATTAGATCTATTATTAATCCACAGCTTCTGCAAATGTTGCTAAGCTCTATCATAAGAGATCACTTCTTGTTTTGCCAGCAGTAGTAATAGTTATGAGTAATATTTTGCCTAAAAATTGGTTGTTTTTGCGATATTTCAAACAAATTCGTCCAGATTCAAAATTTTTGAAGCTACCTCATGGCAATGAGATCCTTGTTTAAATTCCAACGTGTAGACTGGATGTCTGTAACGCCGGGTACAATGTGATGTCTTTCAGCTTTTAGCATTAATTCGAAAGAAGAACTTGGATCGAACCAATCAGCATGCTCTATTGTGTATGAGGTACAACTTCATTAATATGCATAATAGATTCGAAGTCGTAAGCTTTTACCTGTTACAGTGTTCAGACAGCAGAGAGACACCACATTGTGGTGCCAACTGTGATTAAAACAAGTGGAAGAAGAAGAATTGTTTGGAGGTATGAATTGTCAGTGTTGCATTTCTAAATGTGCCGCAACAAAGGTTTTGTTTCCATTTCCTCGCTATAAGAGCGCAGCTGGACTCACGTGTGGATGACAGTGGTCTGCTAACACACGACAAAAATATGTTTGTTAGAAACTTTTTTTACCCAAAAGCTTTTCGCATCTGAAAATGGTGAGATCCGGATTTGCCACTTGTGTCCTTTTAAAAAAAGACACGGTTCCAGTTGGTGATGATTGTGCTGTCTCTACGGATTTGGTAAGTGTGTGAACTGTTCTTTGGTTTATTCAGATGGCAAAGTTACTTAGTATCATCAGCAGTACTCTTTCAGTTTTTAAAGACATACATTAGTCAAAATGATTTTGTTACTAAGTTTACAGTATGTTAATATCACTACAATATTAGGAATTGAGAGATCTGGTATAAATGCTGCTGCTGTAAACACCTGTACACATGTAAACACCTAAACAATCTATCACCTTCGTGTAGGACTTTTGACGCATTTTGTGAAAGGATAGTCTATACACACACGGATCTGTTTCTACCGATAAATGTAGAGGTTTTTTTTTTACCATTCAGCGTGTAGTATCAAATTTCTTTAAAACAACACTCTTCCAGCAGTTCCTCACATCCAATATCTTGTTTGTTACAATGCATAAAATGTTCCTGAATGAAAGTGAAAGTGCCAAACTGCAGTTAAAGTTGATAAATTAAGAATGAAACACCAGAAATTAAACTCCAGAGGAAATGTGTAAAGTGTGGTTTCAAATTATGTGCAATAACATGTAGAACTGGATTTATTTATTTTTATTTGGCAGGGACAGTGTACATTAATACCCCTTTTCATGCAAATGCTTTCCTCTTTCGCCACTCAACATTCCCACCTGAACAGAGCTGAACTGCGGAGACAGGAGGGTTTCATAGCCCTTTAAAGTGGCTGTAGCTATTGTTACAAATATTATGAATTGTTCTACTAAAGAAAAAAAAAACTCACCAACATCTTGGATGGCCTGAGGGTGAGTAAATTAACAGCACATTCTCCTTTTCGGTAATCTATCACATTAACTGTAAGGCTTCATGAATAAACTGAAAAGTTTTACTTCTAAATGCATATCCAGTCTGCTGTTCTTAGTCCACAACCTTTGTGAAACCCCCTCTAAGAAACACACCTGATTAAGGTCAGGATAATTGCTTTGAGCTTCCACGAAGGTGTTATAGAATGTATTGATTTAATATGTAAAACTGTATTTTTGATATCATTATAAAGAAATGGTTTTACAGGTCCATTTCCAACATTAATCTGGTTAGTTTTGACCACATTTGTAAAGGTTGTGAATATTAATGAGCTCTGCTCTGATGCCCCGGCAGCTCATATCAGTACCTGATGCTCACACATACATACAAACTTACACATATACACAGTGTGACATACCCTGAAATCCACACCTGCAAAATAGTTATAGTTTTAAAAGTAGTTAAAAAATATTTAAACAAATTGAGTATATTCCTTGTTTGCATAAACAAGAGTCTGTATTTACAACATTTAAATAGCATCTCGTGAAAAAAAAAATAAAAAATGTATGTCCACTAAGAAGAATGGAGATGCTGCTTGCTGTCATGTCCGCTTCTGAAATTAAAAGGCAAATCCTCTGCAAAGAAAGCAGAGCCGACATGAACAAATGGAAGGACAGAGTAATCTAGGCTTTGAGGGATGCTGGGAAAGCATATTTGAATCAAAGAGGAGAACAAAAACAAGGATAAATCACCCGAAAGAGGTGAGTGGAAAAAATGTATATTTGACCCGATCTCTCTCTCTCTCTGAATGTGATGAGAATCGCTAAACAACACAAAAACAGTTAACCTATCAGAACAAACCAAATGCCATATATAATAAAGCTGTATCAATGTATATTTCCCTTGAGTCCTGTGTAAACTACATCAAGCAGTTTATTTGTTTATATATTTATTTATTTATATTGTGAAATGGAGGAGCATGAAAACATTGTGACGTAGCATTTACACAGGTTTAGTTGTCTATGTTTAGAAGGGTATGTATTGTGCATTGTTCATACTGTATTTTCTGTTTTTGAATAATAATAATAATAATAATAATAATAATAATAATAATAATAATGAACTTAATTAAATGAAATACTTCATATTAACATAAAGTTTCTGTTACTGTATTAAAGCTAAGATAAAGGAATCAGATCTTGAGTGACTTAAAGTGATATGACGAATTAGAGTTATAGGGCCCTATCATACACCCGGCGCAATGTGGCGCAAGGCGCAGCGCAATAGTCTTTTGGTAGTTTCAGCTTGGCGCAAGAGTTGTTTTGAGGAGTTGCGCTACGCTGTTTAAATAGCAAATGCATTAGCGCTCAAATGTGCGCCCATGTGCGTTCTGGTCTAAAAAGGAAGGCGTTCTGAGGCGCACTGCTGGCGCGTTGCTATTTTGAGAAACTAAAATAGATTTTTCATTAGACCAAAACAAACCCGGTCTAAACTCCGGCGCAGAGTTGCACCTCACTTACACACTGCTTAATACGCACAAGAGAGCAATAGGCAAATATCTTTACATATGAAAAAATTTAAATATTAAGGATATATATTTATATAGAGGATATAATAAGAATAGATATAGGATATAAATATAAAGGATTAAAATATTACAAAACATATTATTTTCTAGCCTATATAAATATGAAAAATCACTGCTTTTATGTCTTCTTCATCTCGGGAGGCTTTTCAGTTCATTCATAGCAATTTGCTTTTGTATAATGTTATTATTATTAGCAGTATTATTTATTATATCCATATTTATGTTTGTTTTATTAAAAACAAGCTTAGATTTGCCCACCTGTCAGGTTTTAGACCATATGGGGCAAAGCATGGGTTTTAGGATATAACAGGTTTTTGAGCACACTTCGTTAATATTGTTCATTTATTTGTTTGATGGAAATTAGAACTGAATTTAGAAATAGTTTTGAAATGAATATTTGCGCTTAACAAACAAAATTAATTATTTATAGACTAATTGATGTCTGTGCGTAAAGGTTTCCCTATCCAAGAGCGAATGTGAAAGTAGTTCCATTATCTCTCATTCTCACACAGTAGATGCTCTGTTTAACAGTTTTCTGTTAAAAAAAAAACTGTTAACTGTTTGCTGGTGAAATGCTTAGTTTTTCCACTTAGACTTACTTTACGTCCTGTAAATAGTGAATTCGCTTATGGCGCGACGCAGCTGGCCCTTAAAGGGAATGGGAGATGAGACTCTAATTGGTTTATTCTCAAAACACACCTATAACTATTTAAGAAAATAAACTCAACCCTTTTAGACCATACGCCATGGCGCAAAGCAGATTTTCCCATCCTTAAATCAGCAAAAATGCGTTCTGACACGCCCTGAAAGCGTTTGCGCCCTGCGTTTTGGCCTCTGCGCATGGACCATCAAAATAGAGCCCATACTGTTATTCCACACTAACTGGACATATACCGTTCTTCCACATTTGAGGAATATAAAACAGAATAACTTTTGGTTCTTAATACTGACACTGAAACGTTATCCGCTTAGAATTGAGGTTTTGTTGTCTATCTTCAAGTAAAATAAAAATATATAATGTAATGTTCACAATCCAAATGAAGAAAAAAATAAAACTCAAAATTTTTAAATATGGACTTTAGTTCTTCGTCTCAAGGCTTCAAATGACAATATTTCCAACTGAAGTGATGAAGAGATTTATTTTATTCTATGAACAACCTATTTGTGTGAGCAACCTATTTTGCTCCTGAGTTTAACTTATATGAAAGCAGGAATTATTATCAACCTGTGCGTAAACAGATTAGTTTATAAAGTTTATTAACATCATTTCATTCACAAAAAACCATGTAAGAGCAATAAACACACATCAACACTAAACCGCTGGAGTACATTCTACCTGCCACTGTTTTTTAAATGTACATATCTGAACTTTAATAAAACAATCTTCCCAGGAATTGATTTTACAAAAACATGCCTCATTTACATTTCCCAAACGTAAAATCTTTTTTTATATTAAACCTTATCAAAAAGCGAGGCGTTTATAAGCACCAGAGCGGGTCAAAATTACCAGTGCCTGTATTTATGCACTGCTTACAGTATGTTTAAACTTTCCTGCCAATGGCTTTCACTTTCATTCACTAAA